AGAACAAATAGCCCCTCTGCCAGTGGTTTATTTTCTGTGCCCTTCATATTCAGAATACTCCACTCCCTCACCTCCACTCTGGAATCTGAAAATATCATGTAAGAATAAATCCCCAGAAAATGCGGAACAGATGGTGATGTTCCTTCCCCCTACAGAACATAAAAAGACACTGATGCCAAAAGGCTTCATTCCAGAGCAGAATGCAAGCGCAGTACAGGACTGATTTAATCCAGAGCCCTCCTCGACCCCGTGCAGGTCCCAGATTTGTTCCGGAGGATCCTCTGACCCTCCAGAGTGGGTTTGCCGGAGCTGCAGGGGGAGAGGAAACCTCTTACACCGCTTGAACTAACTACACCTTTAGACTCAAGCCATCCTTATTGTATATCACTTGTTTGTCATTCTGAGAGCATCCTAAAGGGTATTGCTTGCTAACCAGTACCACCTGAGGGCATAACATACATAAGTACAAGACAGATCCTCCCACTGCTCCGGTGCGGGCCGTGACAGTGCCGAGGGTAAATGCAGCAGGCAGGAAATGGAAAGAAACACCCCTTTTTCCCCCTCTCGGGCCTGCTGGTGGCGCTAGCATGGTGCTAAGAATAGGCACTCCGGGGAGGACAAGTGCTGCTCCTTACCGGGATGGGAACCTGTTAACGCCCAATTTCGCCCCGAGACAGTGTTTTCTCGAGAATCCATCCAATACAGATGCAGCTGTCCAAAGGCATTATCTGTGTAAGCAGGAGAGTGTTTAAAAATAAGCCCCAGAGCTTAAGAAATCCTTTGTCTCATTCCAAGACAATACGGTGAGACTAGAGAGGCACTCTCGGATGCACTTCACCGTGGTACATCAAGGGGTATCTCATAACAGTAATAAGGCAAAGTCTAATGTTAATTAAAATTATTATTGCGGATTATGTTTATTTCATGAACCCCAGCTGCTTCCAAAAAGTATTTTTGCTTCCATATAAATTTCACCTGCATAGTTAATGTGAAAATAGTCATATTGTCTATGGAGACCCGTAGGAATTGAAAAACAAATACTAAACCTCTTTTTTTTTTTAAATCAAAGCTAGAATGCAAAATCTACTTGGCTTCAGTGTTAATTTGTTAGCAGCTCACTTCCATTATTCCACATTGAACAGGTCTGTGTAAAAAAGGATTGGCATATGGTATATTTGGTGAGATATCATAATCTTTGCAAATACTGAAATAATGAATTAGGAGAGAATCCACAAAAATGTTTTTCACTTATATGATTTTCTTCTCCTGTTTGTAGCATAGGCAGAGACGACCCAGCAAACCTCAGCTAGATGTAGAAATGAGGCGGCTTCTGCCCCACTGCTTATGAAACCTGCTTTTTCTTGAAACAGGGATTTTGTCACTGCTCTGATTGTTCACAAACTTCCTAGCTGGAAAACAGACATTTTCTGTTTAGACTACATAAAGCATATATGGAACATGTAATCAAAATGCACTCTTTTTCCCTTTCATTTTTACTTTCCCTATATATCCATGTCTAGCAACAGGACAAGTTAAGATAAGTAAATAGTAATATAAAATCCACATCCAAAACACTTTTACTTGGAAGTATATCACACTAATTTCAGGCATGGCAGAATAGTCTTTGATTTCTGCCAATTCTCTTGCTATTCTGGAGAATCTTCAGCTTTGGAAATAATTTTTCCTAAAATGCTGGCAGGACGTAGGAGGCAGAAAAGCCTCTTTCCTTGAGTAGAGTTGGTTCTCACAGAAGTTAGGTCCTAAGCAATAGCAATAGCTGTTAAGAATCCTCTATAAATTTGTCTAAAACTACAGTAATGAACATGCAGATTCTGAGTGGTGTTTCATCACTTCCTGTCAACTTGCAGTGTTATTCTTTCTGAACTCATTCGTAGAACGTCTGCTAGTCAAACTTTTAGGCAGTTTGGTAGAGCCCCCAGTCATTTCAATGGGGATTGTGCAGAACTTTAACCTAAGGTGTATCGTAATTACAATGAGCTCCGCAGCCTGTTTTTCTGCTCGCTCCTTTCAGTAATTGGAACCTTATTGGCACTTGGATGGCTGCCAGCAGGAGCCCTTATGCAGCTCACTGCTTTGCTTTGAGGAAGCAAGTCCCCCGTCAGGTGTGGGTGGATCATTTCAGACCTGGCACAGTCTGCCCACCTGCCAGCTGCCTCTGCCTGCATCTGCTACATCCCCATCTGGAAAAGTACAAGACTGAAAACATTATGTTGAAATGGTGAGAAATTCTCACATATTCCATACTGGCTAGTCTAACAAAACTAAACAAGGGCAGGCACTACCTCATAATTAATCCTGAAACAATTATAATACTTGGTTATTTGTCAGGCAGAAGGTTTAATATAAGTAAACCACATACCTACTGTACACTGCTTTCAGTTTTTCAGCACTTTAAGCTACAAAATTAATTTAAGTATAGATAGGTCTGCATATATTTAAAGTATGTAAACATTGCACTGTCAGTGTTTGAGAAAATTGTTCTCAACAGATCGATCTACCAATATATTTGTAAATTATACTTAGTGGTATACAGTGTCTTAATGTAGGGATGCAGGCAGATGCCCTTCAGATCTCTTGCATTTATATAATTTATGGTTAGGTCTTGATTTTTGATGGGCCAGTCCTCTTCCAGTGGCACTGGCTGAGCCCAATTCAGAGTGCTAGTACTAACATTCAAATCCTAAACAGCTGAGGCCAGGTTACCGGAATGATCACCTCATCCCATATGTACCTACCAGGGCCCTGACATCATCTTGGGAGGTCTTCTCCAGGAGTCCCTTCCAAAGGACATGAAGTGGGGGACTCCCAGGTGCAAGGCCTGTTCGGCTGTGGCACCCCAGTTGAGGAATGAGCTTTCTAAAGAGGTGCACCTAGCACCTACTTTGTATTCCTCTCAGCATCAGATGAGGACCTTTTTTATTTTCTCAGTATTCAACAGTTTAACTTTTTTGCCTCGTTTTTAATAATGTGTTTTATTCTGTAGCTCTGCTTCTATGCTGATTCAATTGCAATGTGTGTTGCTGTATGTATTTTATCTATTTACTTTTAACATTCGTTAACAGTCCAGACAGCCTTGGCTATTATCAGTATACAAATGAAATAAATAACTAAATAAACTGCCCAATATCTTGAGTTTAAAAACTAAAACCAGTCCGCACCACTAGGCCTGCTAAGAAAGAGCTGGCAATGCCCCCTCCTATTCCCATGTGCTATTTAGAATTGGTAAGTGCCTCGGCAAAGACGGCAGTCCTGAACTGGCACCAAAAAGATCGCAAAGCTGGTGCCAGGCGGGCCTCGGTGAGGAGGGCCTGCCATAATTCATGCACAATCACAGAGAAGGGCCTCCTTTTCGTTTCCACCTTTCTTGGAGGAACCATTGCAGGAAGGCCTCCACGTTAAGCGGAACGGCTGGGTGCATTGTGGTTCGAAGAGGCTTTCCGCCAGGTATTGTGCTTCCAAGCTGCATGGGGCTTTATAACTTCAAACAAGCACCTTGAGGCAGGTTCAGAAGGCAGATCAGAATACAAGCAAGTCAGAACCAAAGTGCTGTGCTCGAGCTGTCTGGTCCCTGTGATTAAGTCTGACTGCATCATTTTTTGCACAAACTGCAGCTTCTGAACAGTCTTCAAGGACAGTCCCACGTAAAGTGCATTGCAGTAGTCTGTCTTAGAGATTACGAGAGCATTGATGACTGATAGCAAGCTATCTCTGTTCAGGTAAGGGTGCAATTGAGATACTAGCCAAAGCTGGTGGAAGGTGCTCCAAGCCACTAAAGCCACCTGGGCCTCAAGTGACGACGACGGATTAAGGAGCACCTCCAAGGCCTGACCGGCTTCTTCGAAGGGAGTGCAACCCCATCCAGAACAGACTGAGCACTTTCAGCAGGTTGAGTACCCTCAGAGGAGCCCCGTGGCAACAGCATCTCAGTCTTGTCTGCACTGAGGTTCGGTTTGTTGGCCCTCATCCGGTCCATTGTCCCTCACAGCCAAGCACTGCTTAGCACACCTGTGGCTTCACCTCTGAAAATGCAAAACCAACTTAAAAAAAGCAAACAAACTCAAGTAGAAGATCATTTACACTTTTCAGCATTTCGTGTCATAGTTTTCCAGTATGAAAACCAGCACTCCCCCCCCACCTTTTTCAGTAACTGTATTCAATGGGAGGGAAATTCAATGGGAGGGTGAGGATACTCCTTGTCAGCCAATGACACTACCAGCAGAATGTGCCACCTGGGTATGGGAAGCATACCTGGTATTCTGGCAATCTAACAAGCCCTATAACATCCCCCCGCCCCCCAAGCCATTAAATTGCTCGTCAGAGTCTAGGGACCATAAAGAAATAGGCTGGAATGCCTATTTCTACGAAAAGTCAGCAAGTAAAATCTAGAGGCTGTAAGTTAGAAATGATAGGATAATGAAAGTCTGCCTTGCAAGAAAGCATAGTTTAAACTGAAGGAAGGAAAAGATCAGAAAATTGCCTGTGCATTTTTAAATGCACTTTCTGTACATAACTTCAATTTTAGCTAGCCAAATCTAATCTAAGAAGAAAGGCTAAATGGTAATTAACTGTCACTGTGCATGATAAAATGCGTGCCAATTAGCCATTGTTTAATGAAGATGGTTCTATCCTGCCTTGAAAGGCTAGAGAAAAACTAAAATATTTGAGCACGTCTTTCTGTGCCACTGTTAATGCAGGGAGTGGGAAAACATCGCATTTCGGCTGTTTTGCCAAAGGTGCAGCCTCGTGTCCTGGCTTCACGTCCCCGTCGCCACACAGAAAAGCAACACCGGCCGCGCAGCATGACGTGTGACATCTTCGGCAAGTCGGCAATTGTGACCCCAATCCCCGCAATGCGCACGCGCATGGCTCACCTGCAGCGCCCCATTGCGCCAGCAGAGGCCGCTCTCCCCGCCGTGGCCTGCTCCTCCCTGGCGGCGGCCCCTCAGGAGGGGCCGCAGGTGTCGTTTCAGTCTGGGGTAGCTGAGAAGAAGGCCAGGCCATGCGAGGCGCAACAGAGTCGTGGTGGCTGGCGTGCTCTATGAATGCGTCTGAACCCCCCGCGAGGGTCCGCTACGTGCACCGGGAGTGAAAACGGGTTGGGTTGTCCTTGCCAGGACCAAAGATGGCGATGGCGGCGGCGGCGGCGCCTCCTGCCTCCCGTGGGGCGCGAGCGGTAGCGGGGCTGCCTTCAACAAGTATGGCTGCCGGGACGGGCGAGCGGGAGAGGCCGCCGCGCTTCGCCGTGTGGCTCGGAGACCCGGTAAGCCTCCCGCGAGCCCCGCCGGCAGGAGGGAGCCAGGGCGGGCCCGCTCGGGCGGGAGGCGGTGCGCCGGCAGCCCCTCCCGGCCACAAGGCCCCAGTCGGGCCCGGGCCCGTTCCCATTACGCGAGCTTACCCGCGGCCGAGTGGAAGGGGCAGGGGCGCGTGTCCTCGCGGCCCCTGGGGCTGGAGCTTGCCCGGCTGCTTATTTCTTTATTTTATTTAGTTAGTTCGCGCTTTTATATACCGTCCTTCTCTAAAAGTTGCAGGACGGTAATGCAATGCAATAAAAGGGCAGCCTCAAGCAACAAATTGCATAAGATAAAATCCCATCTTAAAAACACACGAATACTTAAAAAATCGGGAAAATAAAAAGGGTTCGCTCTGGCGCCGAAATGAAAAAAGTGTCGCCGTCGGACACACCTATCTAGGGCGCATGCTCCAAAGCTGGGGAGCCACCACAGAGAAGGCCCTTCTCTAGCTAGCCCCTCTCCGGATTTCCTTCAAAGAGGTCTCTCCAAAAGCGTGGCTCTAGGGGCTGGGTACCTTGCAGGGGGAGATAGGCCTTTGACTCCCTTTGGGCCAAGAGGTGATGAAGGGTGTCATCCATGCCCTTTAATGACAGAACAATGCCTTTAGGTGTGCCTGGCTGGTGGATGCTGGAAATTGCAGGATCTGTTTGTTGGAACACGCCTGGGATTGCACCCTTAATTTGCCTGCTAGCTTTGGGCAGGGAGAGGAGCTGAAGAAGGAAAATGCACGTGAGGCGTGTCCCATTTAGTTATCTGGCTTATCCACTATTCTGCAAGGATCTTGCAACTGTTTTTTTCCCATTTATTATTGTTCCCCAGTATGAGAAAGTAACTTGCCCCTATGATGCTAACCATCAAATGCCTCAATCTTCCCTTGAGAAGCATATGGTATCCTGCAGGCTGAGGAAACTAGAATACTCCAAAGAGGAGGAGGTAAGACTCTAATCTGGCTTTCTTTTCTGGTTATTCATAATTTGGAGGTTGGAGGGAAACAAATGTTGCTTCGTGTTTTTGAAAGGTCTAAGTGGGCTTATGTTCTTTGAAATAGGATTTTGAAAAAAAGGGTTTAAAAAGTCAATTCATACTATTTTTAAAAAGTTCTAATTTTTCTGTGGCTCTGCAAAATGTAAATTAAATTTAAATGTACTACAGTCTGCATTTATCTTATGTTAGAAGTTAATTATGCATCCAACAAACGGCTGAGTTATAGTGTGTCCTGCTATGTAAAACAAATTCATTTGGAAGAATCTAACTTCTCAGGTTAGGGATTGTAGATGATACACATAAACCATGTATTGTGTAAATATTTTTAAGGCAATCTTTACTGGGCTTGGAGATGGCAGACAAAACAAGTTCTAAGATGCATCTCGTTAGGATCAGCCACTAAACCAGTCTGAATAGGCTTCTATCTCTTACGTTAGGTCCTCCAGCTACCATAGTATTACAGTTTTTTCTGTTCATAGTATATGAATAATTATGATTCTACCAATCAAGTACAGTCTACTTTCTATTTCATTAAAAAATAATGTTTTATCTGGTTACTGTCACTATTTACTTCTGGATATGTACAGCCTAATCTTATGCAACTTTACTTGGAAGTAGTAAATTCCACTTTGTTCAGTGGGGCTTCTTTCCAAATAAGTGTGCTTTGATTGCAGGCAAAGTCTTCAAGTAATCAAGCATTCCTTGTACACTTTACTAATGTACAGCGGAAACCAAAAAGAAATGTTTCTAAGGAGATGTATTTCTTCTACACAAGGGCATATAGACTATGCCCCAAATTTTTGGATTATGTTGCTATGTTGTTCAGAGGCTATAACTGAAGACTAACATATTCTGATTGTTACAGGAATCAGTCAACAATTAAAACTTGTTTGAAAACAATTTTTTAAATTGGACCTTTTTCCTTGGTGATTTAAATGTTCTTGATTCATCCTACCTTTATATTTTATTAAAGAAGTTGATTAGTCACAGGAATCCTCAATGATTAAATGGCATTTTTTGGTCTTTAGATTGAAATGTATGATTCTACGTTTTTCTACGAGAAAGCAAACATTCCTAAAGTTCAAATGGGTGAGTGTGAATGTGACAGTAAATATAAAATTAAATAGTGAGGCTTCAGATATTTCTGCTGATTGTTCCAATTAACAAGGATAACAGAATACAGAGAATAATGCACTCATTGGATGATCCTATAGATCTTTCTTGATTCTGCTGAACTGCAAGATGTTCTACAAATGTTGGCTTTGTTCTGATCCCAGTTGAAATTGGGAACTGAAACCTGTACACAGGTGGAGTATGGGTGAGTGCTTTTAAGTGAGGTACATTTAGGCTCTGATGTAGGACTCAGCCCAGAGTAGAGCACTGCAGGGCATCCTATGCTAAGCAGAGGGAGCAGGGAAGTGACTGTTGATGTTCCAGCTCTGTAAAGCAGTTAGGCAGCCAGCCAGGCTGTGGTGCTTCAAAGGAGGGGGGAAGAAGACTCTGCGGATACTTGATGTCTGGGTGGTGCCATTTTCCTCCCCTTCCTGTCACACTAAATGGGTTTTCTGTTACAAACCCAGAAAAACAGCCTGCACAGGCTAGAACTCTTCTTTCACTTCAGAGCTTGGAATCCGAATCATCCTGTGGCCAGCTATTTGTCCGTTTTTTCAGTTTAGTGTTAACTGTGAATGAATTGTGACAGTTATTACAGTTCTGAAAATAGCAACTGGAGGAGAGCCAATCAGGAATTCTGTTTTTCAGAAGACTTATTTGGATTGTTAATTGCTATCTCACTTGAAAGGCACCCAAGATGATACATGTGGCGTAATTAACAGTGCAGGTCAGGGCTTTGAAAATGCACCGGAAACTTCGGTCATATTGTCACACAGGTGTTTAGAGACTTGTTTTCCCCTGCGGAGGAGGGCAGGACGCGTTCCAGTGGAGCAAAGCTCAGGGAACCAAGGTTCAGTTTGGATGCCAGGAAGCACTTCTTGACAGTTAGGACCCCGAGGGTGTGGAAGGGACTTCCACGGGAGGTGGTTGAGGCCCCATCGGTGAGGGTGTTCAAGGAGAGGCTGGACATGCACATGGTGGGCATGTCATGAGTGGAGCCGGCTAGAGCCAGGGGTCAGACTAAATGGCCCAGGAGGCCCTTTTTGACTCATTCTGCTTCTGTGATTCTGTGTATCCACCACTGGACTGGTCTCTTTCAAATTTGACTGTTAAAATATTCTACTGTCTGATATGAACATGGGGAATGGGAGAGAAGTTCACATATAACCAGAAAATCCTAACACCAGGATTCAGTTGATGTTTCTGAAGTGCCCTCAAGGCACTCTTGGATGAGACTGATGATCTGGGTCCATTTCAGTCCAGGTTCAGGCGTGGTTTTGTCACAGAAACCGCTTTAGTCACCTTGTATGATCACCTAAGCCTTGAGAGGGACAGAAACTGTGTGACCTTGTTGGTTCTCTTGGACTTCGATACCATTCACCATGGTATTCTGGAGCAACGTTCTGAGTTGGGGGTGAGAGGCACTGCAGTGGAGTGGTTCCACTCCTGCGTGGATGATAGGCCGCAGAAGGTGGTGCTTGGAGGGCGCTGTTCTGCCTCTTGGATCCTCCACCATGGGGTGCCTCAGGAATCAGCCTTGTCCCCCGTTATATTTAACATCTGCGTAAAACTGCTGAGCGAGGTCATCGAGTTTTGGGGTCTGTTGTCGTCAGTACGCTGATGACACAGCGCTCTCTCTCTCTCTCCTTTTCACCTTCAGCCAGGTGAGGCTCTTGTGTGTGCTAAACCAGTGGCCGGCTGCAGTAACAGACTGGATGAGGGCTAACAAACTGAAGCACAATCCAGACAAGACTGAGATGCTACCAGTGGGTGGTTCTTCTGACTCCTTGAGCCATCTTTGTAACGAGGCCCAGGAGGCCTCAGTGGCTCAGAGTACCTTCTCCCAGCTTTGGCTAGTGGCCCAGCTATGCCACTATCTGGACAGAGATAGCCTGCTGCTCGTGATCTGTGCTCTGGTAACCTCCAAGCTAGATTCCTGTAAAGCACTCTGCATGGGGCTGCCCTTGAAGACGCTTCAGGAGCTGCAGCTTGTGCAAATTCCTGCAGCCGGCCAATAACAGAGACCAGAGAGTCTGAGCATATAACACCAATTCTGCCCCATTTGCCCTGGCAGCCAATATGCTTCCAAGCCCAATTCAAGGTGTTCCTTTTAACCTCTAAAGCCTTACATGACTTGAGACCTGACAAAATATCTCTACTGACCACCATCTGCCTGGACTCCACAATCACGATCTGGGGCCTGCATCTGAGGGAGGCTCCATTGGTGGCAACAAAGAGGAGGGTCTTTCCAGGGTTGCCCACTAGTTACAGAACGAGCTCCCCACTGAGGCCTCCCTGGTGCCAACCTTACTATCTTTTTGGCACCAGGTAAAGACTGTCCTCTACCACAGGGCATTTTAGCGTGGCTTGGCAGTTGTTGAAAAGGTGTTCAGATTTTCTTCAGTTCTTATTTTTTGCATCTGTTTTAAATTGTGTATGATAAGCTTTTTATTGATGTTGATTATGGTGTATTTTATATTGTATTTTAATATGCTGTTGTAAACTGTAAATAGAGCCTCAGCTATTGTGTGGTATAGAAATTAAATTAATAAAACAATAAAATTGTTGCTCAGCATGTAAAAATGTCCAGTTTCTCTAAAACTTGAAATCTCTGCATGTGAATGAGTATTAAAACTATGACAGCCAGCCTGTGCTCCCTACTAAAAGTATTTCTTGTCTGTATATTTCAGCCATTGTAGATTAAATGAACTGTCCTTACACTTCAAGGAGGAATTAAGTACAATTATGTGACGTGCTTTTCTATTTTTCTTCAGACAAGGATTTGCAGTTTGACATTATTAAACAGGCCACTGCTAAAGAGTGTGGAAGTTATTCTCCAGGTAAGTGGAGGCTTAGCCAAGTCGTTGCGAACTGCTGTGTTCTCCTCGTCTGAGTGCGGTGCTGTTTGTGAAGATGCTGGAGCACCTCGCCCCTGTGCTTGGCTCCTGTGCAGTCTCACTGCTTTGTATGCCAGAGCATGTTCAATACAGACACTCCTCCTCACTTGACTCCTCTTGGTTTCCTCTCGGAACATTCTAAATGCCTGCAGTTTTGAGGCTTAGTTACTCTCTTTTCATACACCTTAACACGCAGCAATGAGGCCAAACTGAGCTTAATTATTTTTACTGATTAACCATGCAGCAGTTTTTAATGCACAAATTTAAAGGAGGGCATGAAAACATCGGTTTGGCAACTGGAGCCAAGGTGTGATTTGCTGAAAACCAACCAGCTGAATCATGGCTGAGGTGGGATTCAAACCCAGCTGCAAGTTCAGTGGACGTCTCTTTATCTGTCTGGATAAGCAAAACAGAGCCTGGACCTCAGATAATGTATGATTTGAATGTGGGAAATCCAGGGTCATTCCCTGGTCTGTTACAATGCTTCCTCTCAGGGTGCCTTGAAGGAAAAGCAGACTCTTGGCTCCAGAACCACAGATATGACATGGGAGTGGTTAAGTAGCCCCATCCTGTTGATCCTCTCTTGCAATTCCTTCCTCTCCACATTCCCATGTAGGACCATCTGTCTGCCTGCATCACTCTTAGCTCTGACCAGACCAGGTGCACTGCAGAAAGGTGCTAAAAAGATGAGAGGCGCCAAGCCAAGCCACCTGTTGCATGGAAATGTGAACTGATTCCCTTGCTCAGTGCAGATCTGACCTGGGACAATATGTCCTCCTTGTCTCCAAATCAGACCCTGGGCAGAGCCTGTCCGTCAAAGCAGCTCTGGCGGCAGTATGTATTGAGTGGTGAGGTGGGATAGAAAACGGGGCTCTGCTGACACAAACCTTATTTGCCTTGAGGGAAAGACATGCCGCATCACCCTTCATTCCACCTGACGCTTCTTTTGGCAACTTCTAGTAGCAAGAAGTTGAGTTCCAAAGACTGCTCATGTCCCTTATGCCCCCGGCCCAGAGCCCTTGTTTATTTCTATTGTAATAATGGAATCGACTTGTCGGCCTCATAGGTGCTTTTTCCTCTCTTCCTGTGGAAGTGCCGCAAAACCACAAGCGTTACATCTGTGACCTGACCCAAGCCGACCGCCTTGCGCTTTATGACTACGTCCTGGCAGAAACAAAGAACCAGAGGTCAAGATCTCAGCTGATGGAAAACGACAGTGATCTCTTTGTGGATTTGGCTGCGAAAGTCAACCAAGGTCCGGGGGAAAATGTTGCAGCCGTAGTTTCTATGATGTCTGAAACTCGTAAAGCATGTGAAGTGGAACTTGGCACACACTTGCTGAGACATCCGTATTCTTTTCTCTTGAGTTAGAATCTCCCCATCTGGCTCAAATCTGGGGTACAGGATGGCCCTCTGGGATTAATAGCAGTGTAAAGCCACCAGATAGGCTGCGGGTGTCATTCACACATTTTAATTACAGGGAATGGCACATGCGCTTTTCTGAACGGCAGCCAGGAGGCATTGCAATAGGCATTCCCCTAAACAGCAGCGGCAAGTACATCGCTTCTAGGGAACGGGCCTTAACTCTGCTTCAGAGACAGGGATGGTATAAGCAGCAACCAGAGCACTGTGCTGCACCTGCCCTGGTGTAACTTTGCAGTTGATCTTGAGCCATGGAATCATGCACCTGCGCGTTGCTTGTATTTTGGTACATGAAGTCAAACTTGGTGTTTCCAGTGTAACATATTTTGTCGTTTAGATGATGGTCAGAAAGGTCCAAAGTCCCATCTTGAAATTCTCGCAGAGATGCGGGATTATAAAAGACGGCGGCAGTCCTACAGAGCTAAGAACGTCCACATAACAAAGAAATCCTACACAGAGGTGAGTTCAGAATAGTTTGGGAGGTATTATTGAGGAATTAAAATATGCTCATTAACATGACCATATATTAAACCACTTAGACTGGCAGGAGCATTTGAATGCTACTTATGTATTTCAAGACGTGCTGCACATTAATATTCTTTAGGGGCAAAGTGCTGTAGTTGGCCACTTGCCGGCATTCCTCTTGGAGCAGGCTCCTGCAGGGGAGACTGGTTCCATCTACAAGGCGAGGATGTAGTTGTGGGCACACAACTGCTACTGTCGTGTGTGGCAAAGTCAGAAGCGATGCCCACTGCCCCAGAGTGCTTGGGTTCCTGCTTGTCACTCTGTACAACTCTTTGCTGCAGTGCCAAGTAGGAACAGGGCACCCGAGAGCTGGAGGGAATAAGTTTGCAAGGCTGTTTTAATGTCTTGGTGTTCGTGGGGTGGAGCTTGCCAGCTGTTTTGTGTTTGCTTTTTTTCTGGTTGGCATCTTTTAATAGTTTTTTTTGTGGGGTATAGTAAAAAAATTAGGCTAAGTTAGCTACCTTGGCTACCTTTTTAATACTGTTTCTATGTAATCGATTTTAAAATGTTATGCCAACTTAAACATGCCAGTCACCAAACAAAAGGTGATAATGGGAAAGTGAGAAAAGAGTGTTGGGAATAGATGTATTTAAATTGAATTATATGAACATGTAGGAGGCTATTTAGCAAGTGGAGCACATAGTTACATCTGTGGTGTGCCTTTTAAGAAATTGGGCATGTTCCCACATGACGCTTAAGCTACTGCGGCAATAAGCCATCGGGGGTAATTAGTCTACAAATTACCCACAGTAAAGCTTGCTCCCTTCTCCTTTGCCTTGGACCACTTGGAGGATCTCCAGGCAAGTGGGTGGCAAGACCACCGTCTCTTTCCTCTCCCTACCAAAATCACAAGTTCTCTTGTGCTTGCTGTGTTTGTTTAAAAACAAATCCCATATATCCTTTTTATTTCGTTCCAGAGAGTGAAAAGCAATTTCTAGCTGGACACTAATGACAGCTTCTTCAAAATGTGCGAGTACTTTTACCCAGGCTGGCTTGACCAGAGTGGCTTCTGCTAAGTGCAGTGCCAACTGATTGGAGGTCGCCTGGGTTCAGATGGCCCAACGATCCTTCGCAGGTGCAACAGTGCCAGATGGGTCTATGGATTGTCGTGGGAGCTTATCCCCTTAAGCAAGCCCCCTGCGGGAAATGGTCCGTGCCCACATGCCAGGACTACCCGTCGAGGCTTGCCGCCCGCAGTGGGCTGCTCTGTTGTGCAGATCTGCCATTGGCTCAGCCTCCTGCCCGATTTTTCGACTGCCCCACTATTCTGTCCAGCTGAGCCTTCCCATGCTGTCTGATTTCACCATCTGCCCTCTCTTGCCAGGTAATCAGAGATGTAATCGGCGTGCACATGGAAGAACTTGCCACTCATTGGCAGGATGAGAACAAGAACTCAGAAGCTCATGATGAAGAAAAATCTGCTTTTTCAGTAAAGTCTTCAGGAAAGTAAGAATTGCCACTATGAAATAGTCTCTTCTTGCAGGAACAGTTACCTTTGCCTGGTGTGACGTGAAAGTTGCATGGCAGTTATCATGGCTGTGTAAAGGTGACGACTCTTTAACAGGTGCTGTGTGTAATATGGTTGTCTGCCGTGGGGACCTGCTGCAAGGGAGCAGCATCAAGGGAGGGCAGAACTAAAGCCCTTGTTTTACCTGAGCATGGTGCAAAAGCCCACAAATTTGTTTTCAGTAAGAACACAACTGAGGCCACAGTCTTCTGCACCTTCCCATTATGGGATTGTTCTGTTTTTTCCTATTGTTAAACTACTGCAAAGTGGAAATCCTTGCTGATGTGCTTCAAATCAAGGGGTAGGTTCTTAGCTATGTTCTGGCTGTCCCGAAGTTACTGCACAGCATCTGTGCCATCTCCCAGGACACGCAACACACTTCTCTCGATCTCTGTCCAATGCCTGCCTCTTTTTGTATTTTGCTTGAAAAACCCAATACAGGCCGAGCTCTCCATTACTGGGCTGCTTAGAGTTGGAATGTGGGCCATTACTTTGAATTGTTTTTATTCTGTATGCCACCTTGGGAAGACTGTGGCCTGAAAAAGCAGCTAAGGAATGGGTTGTTTATGTATATATTTCCTTGTGGGCAAATGTTCCATGAAATTAAGAAAGCCGTTGACTTGGCATCTTCTCAAGATTCTTTATTAATTACTAGACTGCCAACCATACCGAAACAATAATAGCTGCTTATTTTCTGTAAACAGTGTGATCTGCACTCTAAAGCAATTATTCTTCCTTTTTAGAAAGGAGGAGCGGAGGTCTGCGTCAGTTGACTCAAGGCAATCTTGCGGCAGTTCAAAGGATGTTGAACATTCTAGACATAAGAGAAATTCTAGCAGAAGCCCAGGCAAACGAAAAAGAAGTCGAGAAAGAGAAAGGGATTCCCGAAGAAAGAGAGAGAGGTAAGTAACTTCATTGCTCTCTAACATTCGTTGAATTAGGGCTGTGATTTCAGAGATCAAGAAATCTGATATCACAGCCAGTTTTTACAATCTGTTTTGAGGGCCTGTGGCAGCCCCTCGTAGGTCTCACTATAGGGCCTATTCATGGTTGTCATCAATTAAAATAACACAGTGTCCAAAAAAAACCAGCACGTATACTGAAAAGGTTTGGGGTTTTTTGGTTTGGTTTGGTTTTTAGCCACGCTTACGCAGCTGTGGCGATGTGCAGTTCCGCAGCTCTGGGAGTGGACGGCTTTCGATTGGCAATATCTGAGCGGGTGGAGGACACCTGCTGTCAAGAGTGCAGCAGGCACCTACCCGGGACTTTAATGCAAACAGTCTTTAAATATGTTTTCTCTTTGCTTTAGTTTCTCCTGGCAGCTGTTAAAAGACAAGCTGTCAAGGGGAAGCCAAGGCATGTGGTATCTTTGCTTGTGAAAAGGGGATGGTGAGATTTACACTCCCTTTGTGAGATCCTCATCCTTTTCTTTTTTGCCATCTTCAGGTTACTGCACATTTTGCACTTTCTGAGAGACTCCTCTTTTATTTTCAGCAGAAGGAATTTAGCCGTCAAAATTCAGGGTCCTCTTAAAATTGGCTTTGGAAATGGCAATGGGCCTTTTTTTTTTTTTTTTTTGGACTGGGAGGTATTGCTGTATATGTCCAAAAAAAAAATCCCTCACCCTGTCACAAGCACAGAAATATGTGTGCATGTTAATGGATGCATTTTTTTAAAAAAATGCCAGTCTCTGACGGCCTCTCCAGTGTGATACTGCAACACTTTGAAGGGGCTGTCACTAGCTGTTGAAACACAGATCGTGAAAACTGGCTGTCAAGCCAGAGTTTGCAGTCTGGGGGAGAAAAGGGTTAAAGGGATTTTAAAAGGCCACAGCAAGTGAAAAGGGCACACAGTTGAAAGAAAGGCCACCCAGCCAGTTCCAGTCACCCCAAAATACTACCTGGGCACTGGGGAGATGGCATTCATGCTGGCAAGATTGTTGTCGCTCCTGCTAAAAGGCTTTCTCTCCGCTTCACAGCGAGCCACCCTGAGGCGAAGGCCTAGGCGCACACGACAGGACAATCCATCATGGCTTCTCACCCACAATGGGATGGGGTGTCATGCACACCCATTCAGCGAAAATTACCTTGTGGGGGGATTGTAAATTTCCCATGCTTGACACTGCTGCTAGGAAATCGAGGGCTTCCTGCAGCTGCCGTTTAGTGAAAGATGCCCCTTTGTGTGATGCCTAGTTTGGCTATAAGATTAGCAACAAAAAGGGTAACAAGGAGTGAGCATGGGCAGTGCATTTCTGGGCATCGTTCTGGTGGGATGAGGACTGAATGGTTAAACAGGCTTCGTGAAAAAGTTAAGTTTTGGGATTTGAGTCACTTTTTCCATCAAATCTACTGGAGCACTGAATTCTCACAAAATGATGTGGTTGCTCTTGTTTCAGAGATGAAGACAAACATCATAGTCACAAAAGAAGAAAATAAAACTTGAACCCTCGTTTAAACTAGGTTGGCAATGTGAGGAATGAACACGCATCCCAGTGGCATTGTCTAGCAGCTGCACCAGCCCAATCGGGCAAGCGGTGGTGTGAGAAGTACGCCGTTATTTAATAAAGGCCATGTAAAGGCTCAGTTCCAGTGCAGCTTGGAGCCTTGAAGCAAAGTGGGAGTATGATGCACCAATCTCATTGCCGTTCCCTTCACTATCCCAGGTAAAATATAGCAGTAAAATGACACAAGATAGTGAGTAACACACTGAACTAGTGTCAGATCTGTGATAGTGGTGTGCCGTGGCCCAGTGTTTCTCTGTGTTGCCATCTCAGAATGATGGTATCGTCACAGATTAACTCGTGAGCTCCTTTCAGGCTGATGCAACGTTCCAGGTATGCCTGTCTGTGAGCACCAGAGTGGTCTTGGCCTGTGCTGCCTTCCGACGGCAGCAACTTGGCTGAGGCACAAAGCTGTACCCAGAAAACTGTGAGGCCGCCTCCTAGCAGACTTCTCTGAACTTGCTCTTACTTTTCACATCCACAAACCTAGGAAAAGGCCGTTGATGGATTATTTATCACTTGACCTGTACCATGCAGCTGTTTTTTCATAGGCCAGCCAATGGATAACAGTGGTCCTTGATCTGATTTTTACCTTCAGCTACAGCAGCATACAAGTATAATAAAAGTGCAATTGGAAAGCATGTTCCAATGATCTTCAGTTTTTGTCATTATGAAAGCAGCAGCCACCATAAAACACCCAGCGTGAGCAATTACGTGCACCGGGTATTGGACGGGGGTGGGGTGGGGGTAGGCAAAGGAAAGCGGACAGCACCGAAGCACTTCAAAGGATTTGGAAACTTGTACTGAGCTCAGCCTGGTGGGAATTCCACGTCAGGTGTGCTGCCTCCTCCAAGGAAAGTCTGCACTTCTCTACAGGCAGGATACGCTGGCTTTTTTTCATGCTCTCCACTGATCGCTCTTTTATCAGTGCCCATGCCTTTATTTTGCCCTTTCCTACCCTGCCTCAGTAGTGTTCATTCTGTATCTGTGTCCTTGCTTGTGTCCTGCTGTGTTCAGCAGCCAAATGGCAACTCTTATTTCAAGTTTAATAAGGGGCTTTTAATAATTAAATGTGTGCATTGTGACCCGTGAAATGCAGCCAGGTGACATATCAGTCCAGGTGTTGGGCAGGGGCTTGGAAGAGTGGGATTCCGGCTCCCCATGCAACTCACGGGTGAGTTTGTGCTGGTCACTAGCTCTCAGTGTAACCTACTTTACAGGATTGTTGTGAAGATAAATGGAGAGGAGTATGTAAACTGCCTTGTGTTCCTTGTAGGAGAAAATGGCAGGTCATGCATGTAACAAAAAGACAAAAGAGTGCCCTATTTTCAGCCACTGGCATGAATTCCTGTCAGGAAATGACTCTTAATTGCAGGGTGGGGGAGGGGGAACCCTAGGGCAGACTTTGTCTTCCTGCAGCTGTATTTCCTGGGATGCTCTCTGTGGAGAAATTCGCCAACAGCTGTACTAGTCCTGCTCATCCTGGGATTTGAATTACCACTAACTACTCGCCGACCACACTTAGGACACCTGGATTTGCCCTGTGTGACCCAGAGTCACTGGGTTCCCAGGAAAAATGGCAAGCCAAGGGGGAGACTCACCCAGTCCCTCCACTGTGCAGAGATGGAGCAAGTACAGGGAGCTCGCATCCCCCTCCTTGCCGGAGAGAGCACCTGGCTGCAGCTGGCAGCTGCCCTGAGCCTGCAGAAAAGATTATATTTTCTTTTAAAAAATATAATTCGCATTGGGAGATAATTGTCCAAAAGAATGGGGTAAAAACACAGTAAAATTAATCAAATTTTTAAAAGCATTTTTTGACACAAGTCCTCCAGGTAGCTCAGAAAACCACACTATTAAATACAATAGAAATAGCCCCAAGCCACTTAGAGGTTTGGGGGTGTAAAGGTTAAAACCAATTCTGAAGTGAAACAAGAAAGGGACTGGGAGACCGTTGCTGACAATGCACATACACTATAGTCAAAACATCTCAACCTGATTACATAGTAGGCTATTCTGGATGAAATTTCTGTGGCTTTGAAAGCAGTTTTGAAGACGGCCCTGTCGTAACAAGCTAATTTCCAGAGCGTGGGCATTCGCAAGCAAGCTGCTCCTAAACAAGTGAGGTCAAAGCTGCCACTTAGCACAAGCTCATAAAAGGAGCTCTGAGCCAGAAGGTTCACTTGAGCATTAGCCCAAACTGAGAAGCTGATGTCCACGAGAAAGTAAAACCCCATGTAGTCACTTATGTTGACGCACTGCAGTTTATCAATGCACAGGAGCTTTGCCCCTTAATAGTGCTCTATGATTTACTTTAATTCATACTTGTAGAGTTTGTAAATCTTTACACAGTAAGAGACACTGAAGATGTCAACTGAAAGATTTCTTTTCTGGTGAAATTTAATTTGTAATTTATGAACCCTTATGACACTTAACACTTAAATGTCAAGAAGTTAGTACAGAACATCTTCTGTCTGCAATATAATTTCAACGATGAAACATGTCATTTTTATTTACTACCTGGTAATAAGTGCTTCCCTGAATTTCAGTGAAATTAAGCACTATACTAAAACAAATGTGGAAAAAATTGGTTGTTTGGCATTTGATTGGAAAAATATTAGTTCAGTATAGTACCTACTAAATATTTGTATGTTTTGACTGGGTTTTTAAATGGCTGTCAACAGCTGCCATTTAGTTTGAAACAATAACCGTACGCAAGTGATATAAAATATATAGTTTTCATATTAAAATTCCATAAGACTGAGCAATATCATCGTTAACCAATTTGTTTTTAATTTGCTTCTGTCTCAATTTTTTACTCAATTCTAATTTAATTTAATTAACTCTGTATAGGCACAAGGATTTGAAATTTGGAACAATGGTTTTCAAAAAGCTGGCACAACATACTTTCCTTAGGTGACCATGGATGGGTATGTCCACCTATCCACCCCCTCCAATCTTTCTGTAGCTGGAAAAAGCAGAACATGCTGGCAGATAAAATATGCACAGGATGTGTGTGGCCTCACAGTAAAGGACAGAAAGCATTAGGACACCTTGGCACCAGTTCAAAGATCCCTATACAGAGCTGGGCTCTTTCTGCCTACCTGCCAACAGGTTGGTGCAATTAACATTGTCATCACTGATTTCACGGCTGGGTTCCATTTGTGCCGTGCTAAACAGGAGATTGGTGCTCTCCAAGAGGACAGCCTGTTTGGCACGGCGCTCACTGCTCCAGTCCAGCTGTTTGAATGTGACCCAAAGTGCTGGATGTAGTATCCAACCACAGGAATCAGAGACGCAGGAATCACTGAGAGAAGCACTTCACAACCTCACCAGGCCCAATCAAGCAGTTGCTTGCTACACAGGAATGCCAAAACATTTGTTTTGTGAGACCTGCCTGTGGCACATTGCACTTACGCATCTGAATGGGTAAACTTGGCTATGGCATTCAGACAACCTAAAGTCTCCCCCAGCAGTCATCGGATGCTCCCCTCTGAAATAGCAGCAATGTCTTACAAAGTATAATGTTCTCCCTTTAAGCAATCAAATGTCAGCGGCATTACTTCATAATTTCTTATTTGCATTTCATAAATATTAAAGCACACTGCAAGGTGATACGAAAAACCTGTATTTTATGAAATATTTCACATTAAGTTCCGCTATGTACTAACATTTCTCCTCTATCTTAAGTTGTCTTTTTTACAGTGCTGAAATCTGCAATTCCAACCATGTATTCCTTACGTGACCTAAATCATAAGAAAAATATATTTTCATTATTAATGCCTAAAGAAACACAATGCTTGCTTTATTCTACATTAATTCCAAGGCACATCCTCCCATCACACCTGAATGTAATTCTAGCATAGAAGCACTTCTGTAATAGAAATGTTGTGTTAAATTCCCTACTTGCTTAAGGGGGAATTTATCCCAATGTTTTCATAGTCATTTCTGGGTAATATCTAGACCCCACCATGTCGTTGATAAGGTACATTTTCCATCCTGCACACCACAGTCTAATGTATCATCCCGCCTTGACAGAAAAAAAATGTATATGTGAAGGCAAAAGGCATGGCCACCTCCTTCCCCTGAGAGAGAGGGAGGGAGAGACTGACAGACTGACTTTTAATTATGTTTTACTTTTCAGAGCTGTTCTGTGCTTTATTTTGTTCAATCTGGTTCTCAGCCTAACACATGAAACAAAGCAGCATGCGCTCTAAGCAGCGGCTATGCAGTAAAACAGCTGAGGCTGCACTGCTTGTAAGGACTAGAAGAGCAATCCCTCAAAGCAGGTTACAAAGACTTTAATACATCTGCTTGTGGAACCAAGAGCTTCCCAAGAACAAGTAAAAGGGGCAGGGAGCTTGCACTGCTGAAATGCAAACCTTGCAGAGTAAGCATGAGCTGAGCAAAAGCCGGATTATAAGCCACTCCCACAGCCAACTGATACTTACACTTGCTCTTTCAGAGCATTGAGAAAAGATTCTACTGTCTCCTGTGATATTTCTTCATCTAAGCCAGCCAAGTAGCAATAGATAAATGCGAAAGTGTCATATGGAATGCGGGCTGCTCCACCCTCTGGGTCCTTCGTTAAAATCTCACAGGCATGTTTCATGGAACTGTGCAAAGACTAACAAGATCCAAAACAATGACCAAAAAAATCACACCTGAGCATTTGCTTTGAGTAATTGTACCTTAGAACACACAACAGCTTACGATGTGCACTGTTACCTGTTCTAGTATTGTAGGAAATTACTTAGGTGAAAATAAATCCAGATTTAGGCAAGTGCAATGAAGCGGTGGAAGCAGACTTTCTGGCTACCCCGCAGCCCTGCGTAGCTGTGACTACAGTAGCCTGAAATGCTACCCAGAGGCCTGGGGAACCCTGCTGAATGGAGTGTTCTGTGATGCAAGGGGGGGCCCTCAAAATTAGGTGGGCTTCCCTTGCACGAATGGAGCCCTTACATTCACAGAAGGCAGATCTTGGACCAAAATCTATAAATGGGATGGCCTTCATTTGAACCGATGTTCACTTACACAATTATTAAAAATTAAGGCAGTTACTAGGACAGGACAGCAACTGCAGAAAGATGGTATGCAGGAACTGGGAAGCAGCAGCAAATCGTCATTTCCATGTGCGCCCAACATGCATAAAAATCCACCTGGAGTTGACACACATTTTTCTACATGCACACAAGCATTCTTCATTTCTTAACACAGTCTTAGCAAGGGATAGGCAATTCTGTATCAACCAAAGCGAAACTTCATAAAAGATCCAATGAATGAATATCATCCAATGTCACTGAACAAGAATAATTCACTGGCAGCATGGAAAGAATCTGCACTTCTAGGAACCTCCTTTGCAGAATTTCTGTATTCAACAGCCTTTCTATTGTATAGTCAATTTGAAAAATTCAGAACATTTGCATCATATTTCACAGTATAAATGTTAGGAAATTGTATGTGAAACCAAATCACATACTTAGGGCTAAGTTTCAAATATTGTAACACAAACACACAGACAAATTGGTTGATAAACACAGTGCCGTGGATCCTAGATTCTGAAATGTAAATTGTTTCACAATTACTTTACTCTTCCTCCTCCATTTAAGTAAAATTATAACAGGCAAAATACTAGTGCAAGTTAAATTTAGTTGTAAGGCCTCAGCTATTCAGTTCATTCTCTGTAGGAAAAACTTTGAAAAATATACCTACCCCACCAAGAGCACTACAAGCAAGTGCAAAAAACTTCATCCATTCCACTCCATCTGCAAAGTTGTCCAGTCGAAGAAGGTTGTGCAGCTGCTGCATTGGCAAACACAAGTTCTTCCATCTTCTCTGAAGTTCTGGTAAATCCACAGTTTCCTTTTCAGAGAGCTTAAAAAATATGCCCATCATAAACAACATACCAGAAAACAGTATGAGAAATTAACTCATTCTAGACAGTCAATCATCTAAAAATCTAAGCTATCCTCTGTAGGTGTCATATTTTCTTGAAAAATTCTAAAGATATACTGCAACCATTTTTACCTGTTTATGCAAAACTTTAAGGAGTCCTGGTGTCAGACCAGTGTCATTTTTCTGAGTGGCTACTGGCATTTCAACACGTTCCTTCACTGGAAGAGGATCTCCATTTGCCAAAGCATGGAAATACCTATGATAGCACAAAGAGATACATGATTGAGGTTAACAACAGATAAGACAGAGGCATAATTAAACCTTTTCAGAATCAGGACATCAACTTATGACTTAAAGTATGTTACACTACAATATGTATAATAGCCCTTTTCAATTAGAAAAAGCTATTTCCAATGGGGTAAACAGAGCAGCAATATGACAGGGAAAGGTGATTAACTCTAATTTGTCTCAAATTTCTACGATCACCACAAGGCTTTTACTCCTGTGTGGTTGCAAAAGCAAGGAAACAATTAAAAAAGCCCATGGGGGGTGGGGGAAGAATTGGGTGAGGAAGGAATCTGGAAGGGGAGACTGAATGGAGAAAGAATTAAGCACCAGCCCTGCTGCAACTCCTCTCCTTCCAACTGCCCTGTGAGAAGCACATTCTCCTTACCTAAAGGGGGTGTCAAGATACCATCATTCACAGCTGTATCTTAGGTATACTTTGTGCCAAAGTGAGTGTTGCTTTGGTCAGATTTTTTCATGGAGTCCACCTTCTCTCTACTCCACCCACAGAATCCATTTTTCTTTCAATATTTATTATTATTCATGTGCCTAACTTTGGGATGGATTGTGTTTTTTAATAGTAAAGGTGCAGATTCCTTATCACCCCTGTTGGATATTGGGAAGAAGCACAGTAAAAATAATGCAAATCTCACACGTCTTTCCTCATGGTCTCTCTGGAAATAATGATTTCTGCTATTCTTCCTTGATCGTTACTTGCTCAGAGATCTGAGCCGATCAGATGATCTGCACACACCATCAGCATTGACAGAGATGCCCGTATGGATGCAATTCCTCTCCTCCATCTGGATGCTTGTCTGGCCCCTAATGAGCTAGCCAGATGCATCTTTTGATGCAGGCAGTGGTGTGTAAGGGACACACAGCACCCAGCACATGCTGTAGCTTAAACAAGCCAGTGTATCTTGTTTAAGGGTGGAGACGGCGTGAACCAGACCACTGCTGTGCAATCTGCACCTGGCCTATAAGGTGAAGCACTGAATGGGTGGGAAAAATCAGTCATTAATTCATGCTGTGATCTGTGTTCATTTGCATTAACTGAGCTGAACTATATACGTGGAGATTTAAGTACAGAATGGGAACTAGAACAAGTGCAATTTCACTGACATACAGTAAAAAAAGACTAAAATACTTTGAGATAATACTAGCATGTGCTTGTGATGTGCTGACACGGATGCCAATTTCTGCCGACATATCGCTCTACTGAATTCCAAGCTATGATTATTTTTTCGGGTGGGGGACACCCTGCATTCAGCTATCAGTGCTCTCCTCCTCCTCCATCTGGAAGCCAAATCCAGGCATCCCTTTCCCCCAGACTGGTTATATGTGCAGAGCCTTCAGTGCCAATAGCCTGTTCAAATTCAAGACATCATTAGGCCTGACTCACCCATAAGACCACTGGAGAACATCCCGTGGCTGGGTCCTGATAGCAGCCTTGGTAAACTGTTTCATTATATCTGGCAGTTCTGGGGGGACATGAATCTGCTGTGCACAAAACATAACATCTGGAACCGGCATGGTTATGCTAGGTCGAACACCAAAATCCTAAGAGAACTTAAAAAAAAAACATTATTCCTTAATTAATTTTTGTTATGCTCTCTAAAGATAAATCACTTGAGTTTTAAGAAACCATCAGGTGCCTTGAATAACAGTGAAATTGTCTATCACATTTGCCTTCCACTTTTCTCCAAGGAACTCCGCACAGCCTAGATGAGGTATCCTCAAAAGCCTAACAACAGGGGAGGCTGGAGAAAGAGAACATACAAGACACTATACACATTTTTAAACTAATTAAATGGAATAGTACTAGAAGGTAAGATGCTGCTCCCCTCATACTACTTGTTCAGCGAAACGTTCTCTCAAGCCCTGAGTAAGACTCATGCCAGTCAATGATGCGCACATCAGCAACCAGTGTTATCATTCACTAATAATAATGACCAGCATCGAAATCTGGGCCTCTGTGTGCCCCCCAGCAACTGAATGTGTAATCTTGGGGTCCCCTCACACTCAGAAACATAGCTGGAAGTGGCCATTCAGCTCACTGGGTGCAACACCTTCTCAGTGCAAGAATTCAGCCTTTGCTTGGATACAAGCAAGCGAGGCAAAGGCCACCACCTATCCGTAGGGGAAATTTTCCTGCAGTTCAACCACGATCTGCCTTCCCTTGTCCATGGGGTCTTGATGGGTTGGGCATGACTTTGCAACTAAACAAAACAAAACACCAAGTTAAGCCAATTCCTTAGTGTCAGATGACTGAGAACCAGGTGCAGCCCTCCTCTGTGTAACAAAACATATCAGAAACAACAAAATCAAGTACATAATCATAGGCACCCTTTCCAGGCTTGCAGAGCCCCATGACCGCCCCGGCTTCTCTTCTGCAGACACACGAGTTCGCTTCCAACCCTCTGGCCATCCTTCCTGCCACTCCCATTCCGGTTTAACGGAATCCTTGCCCCAGTGGGGTGTCCAGAAATGGGCACCGTATTTGAAGTTAAATTATCAGCCTCCCCGATTTCGGAGCAGCCGGAAACGGCGTCCGACTCCAGCTCCAAGCAGCACCGCTGTCACGCCAAAGCCCCGCACCTTGGACGGGTTTTCTTTCCCAAACGCACAGCTGGACGCTGGGTTACTTTAACGAGGCCTGCGCTTTTCTGCCCTGTTTCCCTACCGTATCGTTTTGAATGTTGCTTGTTTGCTAAGGGGCTGCCAGCCTTCTCACCCAAGGGGGGGGGGGGGTCCTCTGCAAAGTGGATAAACGTTCCCCCAGCACCACCCCTGCCTCCCAGACAGTGACATTCTCTCTCGCTCGCTCCGGGCAGCTGCAATCTACCTCACAGGGTTGTTATTCCGATGAACTATGGCGGGGAGGGCGCTTCTGGGAGAAGGGGCACGATGAAAGCGCAAATCCTGCGGGAAGGATCACCGCGCCCACTTGCCAAGCTCCGGGCCTGTCCGGCTGCGGCCGCTCGAGGCAGGGGAGCCCGGCAGGCGCAGCGGCGGCCGCCCCACTTCCTCTCCCCGCCGGCGCTCCCCGAAGAGGCCAGGCTGGCCGTTGGGTTGCCGCGGCAACGGCGCGCCTCGCCGTCGCGCGGCAACCAGGAGCACCATAGAGAGGGCAGTGGGTAGAGTGACCCCTGGAGGCGCAGAGGGGCTTTGGAACTCCTGGCGGAAGCCCCGAAGGCCCGGCACGGAGGCTTACCATAGAAAGCTCGCTCTCAGTGGGAGGCTCCCGGCGGCGGCCTGCGAGGACTTCCCTCTCTATGACGCCAGGACGCCGCCTAGCGGCGGCGCAAGCACAGCACGGCCGGCTCGCAGCGGCCTCCGAGGGTTCGGCGCGCTTGCCGCTTATTGTGGGGCATGCGTGTCCAATCTCTGCGTCTGAATCGTTCCTCAATCCGAGGACTGCCGCGTCGTCTGCAGCTGAGAATTCTTAGTACGACATCGCATGTATATTCCTCTTTTTCCCTCTCGCGAGGAACGCAAACCGGCGCACATCGTCCTCATCCGTTCCCGTTGGTCCTCACAACAGTCTTGTGAGGTGGGCCAGGCTGAGAGTCGCCATCCCCCGCACCAGCCGCCACGCCACGGTGGCCTCCCGCAGCGCCCTGCCCGGCAGCTGCAGACCCAAAGCTGTGGCTTCCTTTATGGGATCGAGGCATCTCCTACTTAGCCTTACCCTTCTTCTGCCTTTGGCTTTCCCTGGCATGGCCGTCTTCCCCAGAAAGTCTCATGATCTGGGGGGTGCAGGGGAGAGAAGGCCATTATTTTATATACTACCGTTTACAAAACGAAGGACAGCTATGTTGGTAAAACAGGGTGGGGTTGAGCAGCCCTCAAAAAGGAAGCATCAGCACCGCACCTGCAGCAAAACGACCTGGCCCATCCTCCTGGCTGGCTAAAGGAGACACTGATCTAACGTTTTGTTACTGCCTGAGCGCCAAAGATCCCTGGACGGTTCGCGCAAAATGCCTTGCGCAGACGGGCCACTTCTGCAGGAACTGGCTTCAGTAGTACAGCTCGAGGAGCCCAGACCAAACGCTGTAATCCTGGTGGCACAGCTGCTGGAAACCTGTGTTGGAAACATAGACTCAGGCCCATCAACAAGACAGCCAGGCCAAAGGATCTGAAACTGCCTTACAGGCGCCCTTGCAGGGTTGTGTGATAGGCAGCAGCTGACCAGGTTTCAACAAGCCGTTTGGCAGGAAGCCTGCAAGCCACATGCCCTCGGTCCCTTGCAGCCAGCTCGTCACCGGGGGGGGGGGGGGGGGCAAACATTATGCGTCCTGCCAATTAAGCAGGCTACTTAAGTAAATCTTTTAAATACTTAGTATTATTCTATACCCATAGCCAAAGCTCTTTCTTGATTGTGTGCATTTTCAATGCCTATTTCTTAAAAACAGCCAAAGTTAAGAATTTGTAAATTAAGTTTTATTGGTATTGAACATTGTACTGTGATCTGAAGCCAATTAAAGTGAGAACTATATACAGCGCAGATTTTACAAGAGGAGCGATTTGTACAAATACTTTTAATCTCTTAAAAGGAAACAGAAAAGATTCTGTGCTAAAGAACGCACCCCCCACAATTGCACATCAGTATATGGAAACTTGATATTCAGGTTTTGTAATATGGGTAAATGGTGGACCAGAGAACTTCATGGCCAGGAAGGGATAGTCAGTAGCCCTGACACAGGTCATTGTTGCCCACCCCACCAAAAAAAAAAAAAAAATACTGAGGTGACATAATTTCTGCTATCATTTTCAGGTATAACATTTTCTGAAATGCTCACAGAACTCACCTGTACACAAAGAAATTTGCATCAATGAAGGGGGAAACTCCATGCACATAAAACGGTAACTTGTACACACACGTTTCTTCCACTGAACAAATATGCAATCTTGCTTGCACAGGAGCAATATATATGCTGAAAAATATACCAACAACTTGTTTTCAAACTAATCTCTACCACCATGAGGACCAGATACTTGCTTATAGGACTCTGTTTCCAGACTGTGCACCAAATACTGAACTATGCACATGCAGAGTTACAGAAAAATATTATAGTGGTACACCTACATATTTTAAGAAATTAAATTGTTCGTAATGGTTCCTGTAATATTTTGTTGTATTCTGATTTACTGGTAAACTGTCAATCCTATGCCAACATTTGCTACATAAAAAATACAAATACCTATCACATTTCTTTAGCAAAACAATACGTATTTGGAGATTTCATCAGAAAACAGATGTCAGCGCCCACTAAAGAAACTTTTAAATCTCAGCAGCTTTCCGCCCCCAACTCTTAAGTTTCTAATCCTTAGGGCAGTGAGGAAGGTATGAAAACACATGGTGATTAATTAAGAATGTGTTTAGTTGGCATAATTGGTACACAATTCAACTTTTCTTTGCTAAATTTGATTTTTCCCTTGAACACAGAATACATACACATCTGCTCAAAGGTTACCATACTAATAATAAGTTAATGGCTACAACAGTCATTTTGTTCTAAAGGGAACTGTGCTTCATTAAACATTCCCAACTACAATCATTTTAAAACAACAGTAAGAAGAAAGCAAGTGCCAGGCCTTTTTCTTAACAAACTTTAATAATCTTTGAGGACCAGCTTGTCTGGAATAAAAACACAAAGTTACAAGATACTGCATTACTGCAAAATGCTACAGAAAGCAGCACAGCATTGCTAGCAATATCCCAGTGGTAAGACTGCTTGAATTTTTTCTTGTTAAACAAAGACTGTCGATAACAGATTTTTGTGCAACTAAAGACATTTGCAATATTTGCGGGAAAATACGCACTCGTACGTAAAAGTACACCATTAGAAACTGAAAAGTGTAATATTGATATGTCCAAAAGAACCGGGCATGACAGACTCATAAATAAGATTTGCAAACAGTGAATTAGAAGCAAGTCTGGTTGGGTTTGGGGTTTTTGGTTTTGTTTTGATTTGCCATCTTCTGTTTTCTATGCTTTTTAATTGGGAACTGCTTCAAAGGGAAATCTCAAAAAATTGACACATCTATAGCCCCAGTGCCAAAAATGAGGTAATGCTGTGAAATACCAATGGTGGCCCTCAAGTTAGACAACCCAGTCACATTCTGCTAGCACTGGGCATGAGTGTAGATTGTCAGAAATCTAGGCTAGACTCCACATCCATCCCAACTCCACCCTCCCCAAAATATGGAACCAAAACAGCTCGCAACGTTTTTGCTTTTTCTTTCAAGCACAAGAACATATCCTGAATTCAACAGACAACTCCTTAGTATTCTATTCGATACACATAATTAGCTACACATGATATTCAAGGAAACAGTCCTGAGTGGCCAGACAACTGCATAGCATTAATAAACTTAAAACAATTTCTTACTGGTTTTGAATAGAATATTGCAAGTCTCAAGCACACAAATGGACTATTTTTAAAGCTTTAGCATTTCTTCCATTTGTGTATCTCAGAATTATTGACATTAAAATGCATTTAACCTACAGGAAATAATTAGGCATATAAAAATATCAGAAATTGGTAAACGTGATTCATGATTCCTGTTTGGTGTCACCATTGTAAAGATTAACCAATTTTTAAAATTATATATTTTTTGGTTTTTTTCTTCCTGCTAAATAATACTATGTAGGTTCCTTCCCCACAGTTAACTTGCTAAAAAAAACCCTGCTAGCATTACTGCCATGCAGAACTAATGCTGATCATTTATAGAATTACAGGTGTTCATCTTATTGTGACATGATAAGATGTCCATAGTATCATTTGCAACTTTGGTTGTATGAAAGTTTCAGACCATCAGAAAAAAGGGTTCTTCCATTTCTAATGTTCTCTGTACTCTTGAACGAACATCCAAAAAACAAACAAACAAACAAACAAACCAAACCCTTCTTTACTGTACTCAAAATAAATCCCTGTAAGCATTTCAACTGTATAGTTTCAAAAATAGAAAGGAGGAAATATTGGCTTATGCATTGGAAACACATTCTTCCACAAACCTCTCAATTAGCTCATTTAAGTATTCCTGCCACTTAGCTCTAATGAACTTTGATTTAAGTGCTTAGAAATTCATTAAAATTCTGTCTTCCAGGGCCAAAGAATTAATGCCTCACAGCCAAACAAGCAAATGCCAAAGTTGTCTGAAGGAGAAAAAATGGTCTTGATCTACTAGTTACTGTACAATATTACAGACTTAGACACATGGAAAATAATCAGGCAACAGAAAATGTACAGCTTTGATGTTATACAAAATGATTAAAAAATCTAATAAAATTCATGTGATCTCACCACAGCCACTTCACTACTGACTGTATCATCTTTGATGAGCCCCCAGGTTTTGCAAAAATTATGTTTTGGAAAAAGCCACTGATTTTTTTTTTTAAAAAAAATGTGTCTTGATTCTTGAAGTATTGCTTTGTGGCACATATGTCAACAGAACAGCAGTCCAAAATAAAGTGACAACTAGATTTAATAAATTAATATTCTTTAAGATGTACAATGAACATTCATTTTTAATCCAAGGTTTTAGGGTATGGGTATTGCTATTTACACATTTACAGATCTCAGCACTGATAACTTCAGAAAACGCAGATAAAAAGGTGCAGGACCTTGACTATCTGAATGCCATGAGAAAAGAAGCCAAAATTAAAAGATAAAAACCCAGCTGAGAGGATTGTTGGGAAAGAACCCAAAGAATGAAGACCAGTCTATGAAAAAGGACACAAAGGCAAGGGAAAAATCAAATGATTCCATGTGACCATTTCTATTCTTGTGATGACTGAGGCGGCGGCGGTGATGTCCCGTGTTTCCCAGCTTTTCGTTCGTAATTCACAAGTCGTTGTCCAACAAGGTACCTAGGATTTTAAAGGGTATAAAAATACTTTCATTCCTTCCCTTCTACACCTGACTGCATTTCATTCTTTTAATGTGGTGCATGAACCGAATCAGGAACACGGTTCCACAACAGGCTGCGCTTAGAAGATTTAAGAACATAAACGCGTCCAAGTGGGCCAGCACTCTGTTCACATGGTGGCCAACCAGCTGCCCACGGGAAACCCAGAAACAGGTCAGGAGTGCAACAGGCCCTCCCCGACAACGGGTGGCGCAGGCACCCGGCACTCGATGCGTGCCTCTCGAGGCAGCATCCCACCCTTCAGGACCAGTGGCCACTGATGGCCTCGTCCTCTATCCAGCCCCTTTCAAAGCCACTCAGATTGGCGGCCATCGCTACACCTTGCAGAAGTGAATTCCACAGTGTGACTATGCACTATGTAAAGAACCACTTCCTTTTAGCTATCCTGAATCTCCTACTAACCAGCTTCATTGGGTTCTAATACTATGAGAGTAGGGCAGAAATATCTGTCTACATACTTTCAATGGTGCTAAATTTACTTACAGTCATTAAGGAGCAAAGTTACCACACAAGAAAAAAAATAAAGCATCAATTCATAAAAAGATTTTATTCATAAAAAGCATTTATTTTTATTTATGTCATGCATAACCCCTCTCCAAACTCGACAGGTAGGGGGCTCAGATATGGCTTTACCAACACAAGGACTTCGCGAAAGGTCTCCTTTCACTACTATCTTGAAGAAAAGCTTCCAGTGATCAGAACTCTACCATCCTTACTTAGTTGAACCACAGTATGGTTTAGTTCCAAGTAATTTGTACCACTGAACACGGCCAGAGCACGCTAAGCAATATCCATCTCTGGGTCCTACGATCTGAACTTCCTAATGGGTGAAGGGACTGTTATAGGTCTCAAAACAGATCAGTCTTGCCAGGGTAAGTACTCACTTGTCATTTTTTATGTGTTCATAAAGGCGCTTGAACTGACGGACTTGAAAGGAGAGGATGCCCATCAAAACCACCACCATGAGTAGAAAAGGATAAATACGACGCTGTACTAGGTTTTGCATTTCAGGAGTGACACCTGAAAAATAATTTTTAAAGGGATTTCAATAAACTAAAGGTTAAAACCAAGTCTTTCCACTTTAAACCTCATTTTTTGACAAAGTTACTACGTTACACTTTCACACTTAATGTATTACAAACATGACAATGCACTACCAAGCACTGCATAAAGGAAGAACAGATTTTCTTCACTTGTAACAATTATACGAATGAATTTCAGTTAAAACAAATGTTTACTGGGATGTTTCTCTTGGATGCAGCAAGACAACTAAATCCCTGCAAGCAGGAAACAACCAATAGACGCCTATAACAATGTATTCACATTAAAGTAAAAACAACCTACTGAACACGCCAAAACTTGCAGCATCATTATTGTGACCTGCAGATTTCTCACTTTCTCTGCCTCTCAGCTAGTGACGCAGTTTATTCTACGAACCTTAGGCAGCTACGAGTTGATGCATGCAGAAGGGGGGTTTTCTGATACCCCATCTGGCTGCTGGGCTCTGGGGTTTCTCCTTCCCCACAGCCGGGAGCACCCACCTGGCAAGGCTCAGGACAGGAGATTAAGTTTACCTCCTTGTAAGGTGGTGGTGGCGGCGGCGGCGGCGGCACGAGACTCCTCTGTGCCGAGTGTCCCAACTCTGGGAGGAGGAACAGCACCTTAGGCTGCGGTGGCCTGCCCCATCTACCTCTACTCACCGGCTCCCCACAATACAGGTGCGTTTGGCCCAGCCAGGGGAGGCGAATAAACTAAACTGGGCGGTGTAATCGAGCTCAACTGACAGTGACCACAGCATGAATGGCCAGAGGAGGACTGGGGAGGGGAGAGCCTGGCTTCCTGGAAGGCCCGGCCAGGCAGCTGCAGGGCTTGTTAAACCCGCAGTGCGGTAGCAGCAGGACGACGGGCTGCACTGCTGACTGAGAGGACGCGAGCCAATATGGCGGCGTCCCTGGCACGGCCCCCGGCTGCACTCGGTCTGAGGGAGCCGGTCCTCGTAGCCCACCCTCGGCTGTGCGGAGGTGGGTTAGAGATCTGGGCTCACAAGCTGGCCGCCAGGACGTCGCCGTCCGTCCCTGAACGGCCGGCAAAGATGCACAAAGAGGTGCTTTGTGCAGTGGGACCCTCCCCTGCCATAAGCACACGGGCAATTGGGCTGGCAGTGGCGGTGAACCACCTTGAGCCGCTTCGCTGTTGCCCACAAAGGGCAGGTGTGTGCTGAAAGGCAGGCAAGGGAGAGATGGCCAGCAGTCACGCTGCAAGGGCAGCCATTCCGGATTTCATTTCTGCTCGTGGGCACCTGCAGGGCTGGGCAAGCGGAGGCAGGGACACCCCCCTCCCCCGAGATCAGCCATAATCTCTAGATACCTGGCTTTCTTTTTTACAATTATCCATTTTTATAATTATATATTTCATTTATATGTACGGCTCTAGTACTGCAAAACTCAAGATATGAAGCAAGAAGTGCAGCCACTGTTCTGCCTATTCGTTTTGTGGGGAATTTATTATTTATTTATTTTATTTAGGCAACTTATATGCTGCCCCCTTCGCAAAAGCCTCGGGGCGGCTTCCAATCATAAATAAATATCATCATACAAATACATAAAATAGTGGAGACATCCTGGCAAAGTTTTTAAAAATCAATAAATAACCTCAACAATTAAAATAACGTTTAAATAAAAAGGTCTTGGCCTGGCGCCGAAAAGCAAATAACGACAGCGCCAGGCGGACCTCTCTGGGGAGCGCATTCTATAGGTTGGACTGCTTTTCACCTGCTTTTGTCTTTTAGCCTATTTTCCCATGAATGCTGTTGCAGTAATCTGGGCATACTGAAGTTTTGGGGGGTCTTCACTGTTAGGAGGAAACTGCATAAAAAAAAACAATTTAGAATTCCATCTCGGGGCAATGCATTTCTATCAAAATTAAGTAAAGGTAGCAGCAGCTACAGGAACTCGTAATCTTTCTAACTCAGATCTTAGTAATTTTTCAGAGTATTTAAAAAAAATCACCCTGACAATGCATGCAGACGCAGCTCATCATTATTTTACTCATGTTGTGGGAGGCAGGGCAGCGGCTGAGAAAGGGTGGGTTGCACAAGTCCTGAAAATTAGCCCAGTGTTATTCATGGATCCATAACCAGATCCATCGGAAATTGTGAGCATGTTCTCTGACGCTAGATTTTTTTAAAATTGGCAACCCTGCACAAAATGCTTGAGGAAAAATATGAAATTCCAAGAGAACACTCCTGTACTTCAAAATGTAAACCATGCAGAAGTCAAATTGTTAGCTGATAAAAAAGTGCCTGATACCAATGTAAAAAGTAAAGCAACATGTCCAGACTTCTCCAGGGCCCTAAACCCTGACCAACCCCATCTATTTCCTTCTCAAGTCTCAAGAAGCTCCGCACTACTTCAGATGTTTTGGATTTCAGCCCCAGCCAGCTCAATGGTACACAGTTGCTGGGGTCACGGCCCAAAGCATCTTGGCGTGTATCAGGCTGTGGAAAACAGTCCCAGCATGTGGTTTTCAATGTTTCCAAGATGAAAGGAGTCATCCCATGGCAAGTTGTGTGAAGTTATTGCTGTTATGATAAGGTTAGTAACACCATGGAATAGGATATTCCTAAGACAGCTGTACTGTGTTTGTACATTTCGGTTTTTTCCCTCTTGTTTCTGTCCCTCTCTCCAGATGAAGTTTAGTTGGAGTTCCTAATTGTTCTTAAAATGACACTCGTCTGCATTAGTGCTGCCCAGTTACTGGGGTCTTTGATTACTCTGCCAGGGGAGGTGATGCTACGTAACAAAAACACACACAAAAACAATGCAAAGGTGTGTTGCAGCAGTGTGCAGCACATGCACCAATTACAGGCACAAACTGCTGTGCAGCTTTGCCCCTCACCCCCCAGAAATATCCAGCAGAAGTCCCTGACCACGGCATGAAGCTTCACTAGGCTTATCCATTTGTAGGGGCTGCAGGGCCTGCAATCAAAGAGGGAACAGGGTCACCTTTGCGGCTGCAATCCCCACACTCCGTCAGGAGCCGTGGGCAGCCAAGCACTCTTGCTATCCCCTGCCCTCGAGCTAGTCGCCTTCCCTTTGACTCCCAGAAGAAATGAGCTGCGGTTTGCCCTGTCAGCGGCATTCCCACCCTCATAAAGACCAGTGCGTGGAAGCAGAAGCTAATAAAGCTGGCCAATCTTCTTCCACCCTTATTGTTACTTAGGAGAAGTCTTTTTAGGGTAATGATTTTTAGGGTGATCACTTATGGCCTCCAAACCTGGCAAATATTCCCAAGGCTGGAAAATCAGAAAAAAAAGCTGGCCATCTAAATGTCATCGAAAGATCATCGGCTGCTCAAGGGCCACCGCCTATGTTGGCTCTACACTCAGCTAACATAGGAAACACTTTTCCAAGCTATGGGCAAAATCAAAATATTGTGAAGCAATCTGTGTTTATGCAGAGACCGGAAGACACACTTTGCAGGATGCCCTTGTGCCCAGTGAACATCCGGCACTCTGGCAAGAGATCGATGATTTTATATTTCCGCTATATCATCATAACTGAGCTTGGAGACCAGGTGACAACATTTGCCTGCCTGCACTTACCTAGTAAAGGTACAACACCAGAAGCGATGATGTAAGGTACACAAAGAGAAAGCAACAAAACTGAGATAACCGGTGCAGCGAGTTTCCGTATTATAAAGTGTAAGTCAATATTTCGAATGCCATTTGCATAAACCTGAAAGAACAAGGCAAAAGCCCAGTTACACGAAGGGAAGGTTGTCCAGCACACAACTTAAAACATGTCTATTGCCCAAGCACATCTTCATGATTGGAAAGGAATATGCAATATATTCCGTAAGTGAGGTTGCCGTTACATGTGGGGGTGCACTACGGACTCCGTCATTTACATGGCAATAGCCCTTAAGGATTTCACTGATATAGCAAAATAAGAAACTTTCTAAATAGGTGTCTCAGTGCATAAAAACCAACCTATCTCGGGTTAGGGAGATCAGGATGTGCATTCACAGGCTCTGTGAAAGACAACACAATTTGCTGCATCTGCCAGTGGAGTAATGAATGTGCAAGATTTAGTTATTATATATGAAGTCCTGTTTTTAAAAAGTAAAGATTTAAACTAGCAGGCTGGTTTTAATTTGACCTCTTTTGATATGCTGTAATATAAATCAATTTGTATTAATTATTGTCTTTCTTCTAATGCTAGTTATTTTATCAGAAATGGTAGAAATGTTTTGCACTAGTCAAAGAAAAAAAAGCGAGGGAGTTGGATACTTCTAAATTCAAGCTTATATTATTATGCAAAAACTTAGTAAACAAAGCAATGAATTTGGGGGTAGCTCATTTTCTTTTACCCCTTTGAGAACCTTACTATGTAGAGAAGGTTGTAAACATGGTTGGATCCAGTCTACATTAGTTGCATTTACAGTGCCAACCTCTGTGTGTCCATTCAGAAGCAAATTCAGTGGGACTTGATGCGAAGTAAGGGGGTAAAGGGTTAGGGCTGATCAATATGTAAAGCATGTAACTCAATTCCCCTCTCCAGTGGGGTCCATGCTAAGAAGTATAGTGGAAAAAAATAAGATTAAGATCATGGTTTCTGCAGCAGAGAAAAGGGAGCAGTCCTCCCCAGGCCACTGGGATGTGGCCTGCAGACCTGGGACATTTACAGATAGGTTTTGTCTGATTGCCACACCTGAGAAACCAAGCCAACCAAGCCTCACCTGTTCAATAACTGTTTTCAGCCACCACTGAGGACCCATCAAAGTTATGGCAGCAATGATTTTGGCATGCAGAACACCAAGAGCCCAGTCCTGGATCAAAGCACGAAAAGTATTATTATTATTATTATTATTATTATTATTATTATTATTATTATTATTATTTACAAAGCACCATCGATGTGCAAAGCAGTCTGCAAGAGGGCATCTCCCTACTTAGAAGTTCACAGTCTAATCTGACACTGGAAATGGAGGCATTGGTAAGCACGGAAAGCAGGTGCACTATTTTATATCCACATAGCTTGTTGCAGTAAATCATGGAAAGACCCCCAACAGTTGTAGCAAGCATGTAGGATTTAATGAAAAAGTCAACATAGATAATAATCTAGCCAGTAGTAGTTCCTTGGTATTGTTAGAAATGCATTTCTCTAAAACATATAGTAGTAAAAGAAAAGCCCCTGAAGAATATTAGCAGGGGTGTGACAAGACACATTAAATGGCTTTTCTAATGCTTAACAGAAAGGCACTCCTCAAAATAACTAGATATATTCCAAATATTGGAAAATTGGAAATATCCCACAATGAAATACTGTACAATAGCTAACAAAGTATAAGATAAGATAAAATTCTTCTCAATAAAGTGTTGTTGAAATTTACTTGGAAAATTTGGAATAAAGGGCACAAAAATTTAATGCCTCAGATTTTACCACTTATACCTTTTTTGTTTTTCCACCCAGAAAAAATAGCTCAATTTGCTGGTTGGGAACAATGTGGTTTACATAAGCTTTAAGATTTCTTTCCAAGGGGCTTGTGTTTAGCAGGACAACACATTAAAATAGAATGTCTAATATCGCTAATTCATGACTCCAAGTCCACCAGGTATTTCATGTTTAAAGGATCCATTGGTTTTGCAGTAAGCTACAAGGCAGTTTACACAATTGGAAAATGTCCTCCTTAGTTCCACCCTGGGCTCCAATGGATTTGTCCTAAAAATCTATTAATGTCTCCTCTATATTGCTAATTATAGCCTAAGAGGTTTAAAGATAGTCTAGGGGCAAGTTCAAGGGTAGGAAATAAATGAAGAAAATTGGCCAAGGGAAAAAAATGTGTCAATTTCCCTCTATTTACTTTCCTGCCTTTAAATACTTTCCTGCGAAACTATTTCTGAGCTTTTGCGGGGGGGGGGGGACCACCCCTCACACACACAGAGAATGACCACAGCAAAAAAGTGGGGGAGGAAATCTTTCCCCTTTCTGGACTTGCTGGAGACTCAGGGAAATGTGCAAATTTGCCTGTATGCTGTCCTGCCATGTCAATTTCTACTATACTTCACTCCCTTTCACAGCTAAAACTTAAACGATACTGACAAGGCAAGATCACACTTATCAGACAGTAACAAGTGCGTCTTTTTACAAGCCCAACAGACATGAATATGTTTGGGACAAAAAGGGAAATTTAAAAAAGGACTACGGCCCTATTTGCATACATCTGAGGTGCCCATCTTAATTATTTTAAAGATGGCAAACAAAAGGGGGTTATGGCAGGTGCTTGCCTTTAAGCAGACAGAGCGACTCTTTAACAGGGCATTTGGAAGCCTCAGATGACTGTATAAATTGCTTCTTCTACTCGCTGATTTTTATATTGGGGCTTAATTTTATCCATTTTGTAAGGCACTGGTTTTATGTCAACGGTCTTATTTGCGGAGAATGCGAGCACACCTTGTGTTACTATAGTTACTTTTAATTATAACACTGCCAGTGACACATTGCGTAAGACAATCCATACAGCAGAACTCAGGCAACAAGGAGGGCAGGCTGACCTGCCATGGGTAGAAAAGTGGCGTCTGATCCAAGGGAACTCTCAAAGGAGCAACGATAACCAGCTCAAACAGGAGCCCAAGCAAAAGTGGAACTACACCAGCCAGGAGGATGGCGACTATTAATGTCTTCATTATCTAAAGGGAAAGGGAAAGAGCTTTGTTTATTGACAAGGCCATAAGAAACATTGAAAATTATGTCTGTACTTACAAACCATTAAAATTAAAGGGAGGACACAGAGGTATCAAAAATATTATCGAAATGATAACAAACAGAAACATACTTAGAACGGAGCCAATGGATTACCCAGGCCAATAATTCCCAAGACAAAGCTTTAGCTAATATACAAGAGCCAATTAAAAGGGAGCGGTGCAGAATGTTCTCCTTTTGCTGGCACATTCTAGACGAGGTTAAATCTGAACTTGAATTCACTGAAGTTTACCCCTGGAATCTGTTTCAAATAGCTGAACTCTACTCCAGGATATGCAAAGGCAAAAAAGGATTTGCTTCTGAATACATACTGAGTGAGGTTCAATGCTGATGAACCTCAGCCAAGAGTTCAATATGTCTGGGGTACAACTCAGAGGACAGGAGTTCACAGGCAGGCTCAGGACTGATACCACTCCTAGAAACCAAAGGGCATGTCTTGGCTTTCCTTTCCCTCCATCCTCTCATGTCAGAATCTTTCCTGGCCAAAGCTTTGAGGCCTCTCAGGCTACCTGACGCAGCTGCAGCTTTTTCACCACCTCCTGCTCACCCAGAACTGGAAGCCATGTAATTCTCCCAACAGCTTACCATTAGGGACCATTCCTTAACTTTCTGAAAGATCACTTGGCGGCCCTGCGGCATCCAAGCGACCAGCACTGTCACGGCCCGGATTGTAAGCCAGCAAACGTAGAGCCCACAAGCAGCGGTGTAGAGTTCGTGGATTTTGGCGCTCCCTGTCCAGAAGGACATCAGCCAACGGCCAGCAAATACTGAAAGCAGAAAGGATTGTTCATTTTTGATGGAATAAATAAGATCATAACAAGATGCAGTTGGATCCAGTGGATGGTGAAAAGGCTAAGTGTCTTCAGTAGCCCCCTCTCCTCCATCAGTAGTTCCAGATGGCAGCCTTTGAAACTGAAGACGGTTTCAAAACCAGTTCGTAATATGAGAGAAAATCAGCTGCAAAATTATACCACATTATCACAAACCCCTTGGGTAGGCCTAAGCAGCTCCTTGGAACCCAGTCAGTAACTGAAAACAATTTAATTCCATCTTCATCCCAGTATTATTCAACTGCATTATACCAACCCCCTACAAGGCCAAGTGGAATTTGCAAAACGATTGCCTCGCTTTATACGAGTTTCTCAGGTCAGTCTAAATACTCCCTGGGTCAAAAGCACTGCCAGCTAGAGATCATATAATGGCAGTAAGAACTATTTAAGTCCCAAACACATAGTACCTTGGTTTGTTTTTCTTTGTATGAGTTAAAGTTATGTGGTACAAAGGTTATTTAGTGAGGGAGTTCTGGGTTCAAAGTCTTGCTCACAGGAAGTCACAAAGCTTATGAGCACCTCACTGTCTCAGCATAATCTGCTTCACAGGGTTGTAAAAATAAGAAGAGGAGAATCCACATATACCGCCATTAGCTCTTTGAAGGAAGAGCACAATAAAATTACAAGAGGTCCAGACAACTAACTGCACCATTTTCATTAGCAAAGATCTGGCCAATGAGTATTGATTTTGTAGCCTAAAGCAAATTATTTTTCTTTACAATCTCCAGTTAACCCAGCAGCAACACCAACACCTGTTGAAATGCTATGCTTAAATGAGCAATACTGCTTCCCTCTTCTACAGATCCAAAGGAATATGAGAGAGGTTACTAGTGCAACCTTTTTATGGGAATTGTACTTCCCAACCACTTAAAGATAATATTAAAATTAATATAAAATAAGAATTAACATGAAGGATAGAAGCTTGGGACCTGGTTATCTAAAGGAGCACTTGCGTCCATATCTGCCCTCCTGCTCCTTCAGATCGGCAGCAGAGGCCCTTCTTCGGGAACCCTCCGTGAAAGATATTAGGAGGGTGAGTACCCAGAGGAGAGCTTTCTCTGCGGTGGCGCCCCACCTATGGAATGCACTCCCCAGAGAGGTCCGCCTGGCACCGATGTTATTTGTTTTTCGGCACCAGGCCAAGACCTTTTTATTTAAACATTACTTTAACTGTTCATTTATTTGTTTTATATTTATGCCGGGATGTCTCCAGATTTTTAACGTATTTGCATAGCTATTTGTATTGGAAGCCGCCCCATTCGCAAAAGCAGCCTCGGGCTTTTGTGAATGGGGCGGCATATAAACAAACAAATAAACAAACAAACAAATAAGCAAGTTTCATCTTATTATATAAGAGCTATAACATACAGGTTCAGAATACTCTCGTTTATGGGCAGAAAATGTCAACAGGTAAATTCAGAGTAAAATGATTATACTATTTTAGTTAGTTTAAAGCAGAGGCAAAGGATGGATAAAACAGTATATTCTCATGAATGTTGTTGAGATGTATGAGATTCCATGATTCACTTCTATTCAGTCCACAATTCCTGCATCTCACTTCTACACAATGTTTACTTGGAAGTTTATGCCCCAGTAACTTAAATAGGTCTATTAGTCTGAAGTCAGGTATGCAAAGGATTGCAGCTTTAAATAACTTACTGGTCCAATAATAATTCAGATTTTGCCTTTAAAACAGCTGCTAAACATGTCAGGGCATTACGAAGGCATTTTAGTAAGATGTACGTCATAACATACAAAGTTCAGAAGATGTGCAGGATGCCAAAGTAGATATTATTTTAATTTTTACTAAAATAAAATTGATTTAGACACTGATCAATGAAGAGACATCAAAACCAATAGAATATATGCTGATTTTTTGCATCATGTCTCCCCAGTGTTTGTTGATTAAGACATTTAAAATTAAAATACAGTATTTTAATAAAAAACAGGCTGCTGTCGTGAAATACATACCTGGTAATGTAAGGCAGATGAGACTTGCAATCAGCAGTGTTATACACATGAAAATGATCAACAGAAATATCTGAAATGCACAGAAACCAAAAAGGGGAATTTAATAATATATTTATAGAGAAAAAGCATTAAAAGATAACACCTAAAAACCATATATGCAACTGCTTTGTTTCTATTAAAGCACAATTCTAGGGATGTCTACTTGAAAACAGATCCCAGTTGTTGTTGTTAGTCACGAAGTCGTGTCCAACCCATCGCAACCCCCTGGACAACAGTCCTCCAGGCCTTCCTGTCCTCCACCATCCCCCGGAGTCCACCTAAGCTCACAGCAACTGCCTCAGTGACTCCATCCAGCCACCTCATTCTCTGCCGTCCCCTTCTTCTTTTGCCATCTATTGTATCCAGCATTAGGCTCTTCTCCAAGGAGTCCCTCCTTCTCATTAGGTGGCCAAAGTATTTGAGTTTCATCTTCAGGATCTGGCCTTCGAAAGAGCAGTCAGGGTTGATCTTCTCTAGGACTGACCGGTTTGATCACCTTGCGGTCCAAGGGACTCACAGGAGTCTCCTCCAGCACCACAGTTCAAAGGCCTCAATCCTTTGACGCTCAGCCTTCCTTATGGTCCAGCTTTCACAGCCATACCTTGCACCTGGGAAAACCACAGCCTTGACTATATGCCCTTTTGTTGGCAGGGTGATGTCCCAGTTAAGTGCATATATATCAAAGGTAGGAAACCTGGTACCCACCAGGCCTTTGAAACTCCCATCAGCCCCAGACACGGGACCAACAAGCAGGGATCATCAGAGTTATAATCCAAAACACATGAAGGATGCCAGGTTGCCTGCTCCTGATCTACAGAACTGCAGCCATGGGTGGACGGTAGCCACTGAAGTCACTGCAAATATTTAATGACCACATAATAGGCTCTAGGGTTCAAGCAGGTATGATCAATGTTTCCAGTTACTTGAAATGCCCACCCTTTAAAAGGCATGGGGATTTTTTATCCTACAACTTTGCTACTGCTGTACAAGCACTCTGTTCTTACACTCAAAAATCTATTGTCATTGTTAAAGAATCAAGCTAGTTTTCTTCTCTAACGCACACAGGCTAAGTCTGCGTGATGGATTGACTTTGAAGACTATCAAAATGCTATCAATTGCTGCAGGATTAAAACAGAATTTGGACATGCCCCCCCAGTTGCTAGGATGCTCTGGCTTGAGTGCTTATTCATTGGAATGAGGTAGAAGTTTTCACAGGCATAACTTGACCAGATGGAAGGACAGGTGTTATGGACCACCCATGTGTGTTCCGGTGCCAGGAGGTGGGATGACAAAGAGAACATTGGCTATTTGGTGGCACAATGCATAAAATATATGCATCTATTTCCATAATATATTTCCTCTGAAGCAGCCCCCACGATGAGCGAACAGGAATGAGCTTCAAAACATAAACCCTTTTTATCATCGCCTATCTTATATTGTGCCCAGAGGGAGAAATGGAAGGAGAATGTTAAGCATTCACAAAATACTGCCCTCTAAAGCAGAGAATTAATGAACAAGACGCTAATGGATTATACTACGTAGGGAAGAACCTGAGCAGCAGCAGCTAAAGCCGCTGAATATTATGATTAAGGTATCTAAAACATTTGATTACAGTATTTGAAACAACCTACCCTGAGTGGAAATTTTAAAGGTCTACGATAAGGCTGAAAACCGACAGGTCCCCCTTGCTGCAGTATGGCTTGGTGAGCTGCGTGAAGACCTTCTCCTACAACTGGAATGGCATTATTATTGCGCGCAGGCTGGTTATTAGGGTTGACGTGTTGGTTTGCATTGTTTTCATTCTCCTCCTGGTCTCCCAGCAAGTACGAATGCAGGTCGCTGTAACAACGTTTAAGAAACTGTTTACCACATCTGACTACTCTAAATGCCTCTATCGTATTGCTTAACGCATAAACAAGCACAAGGATAATAAAGGCAATAATAAGCAATGCCATTTGTAATTATCAATGGCATACTGACTGTTACAATATGATAATACGTAATCATATTATTATTACATATTATCAATATGATAATACGTAATAATAATATTATAATAATAAAATTTTGCATTCCCACCAGTTCCTCACAATAACCCTAACCAGATAATCCAACTTCTGGAACAGAGAGGAAACTCACATGCGACAAGGAATATTACTCAGTCAAGCAACCCACAGACACGATCATGATGATCATTCTGTTTTCATGGTATTTTCCTAGCCAAGCTGAAATCCTCAAAGACGATTTTTAAAAATCATCATCAACTTGGTCCCATTTAAAGAAGTCAAGATGCAGAGCCTAAATATCTACACTGGTTTATCAGCTTGCAACTCCAGCATCACATGTTATTATTATATATATTATTATATATAAATTATATAGTCATAAGCACTGTCACCAATCTTAGAATAAGGTTATTAAAACTAGTTTTGTTTGCAGATTTAGATGCCATTAATTTCCATAGCAGGTTCAGAATAGAAGCATACTTATTTATCATTTAATCTAAAGAAAAGGCATCTTTATGCGTTACTTAATTACATTTACTTCTTTCTATTTTGGTTAACTTTCAGTAGCCTAAATTAATGCCTAATCTCTCCTCCACGAGAATTACATACTCAGCCTTGCAAAGAATAAAGAAAGACTTAGAAATCTTGCTTTTTTGTTGTTAATAAAACTTAAGGAAAATGTAGATGCAGATAGTAAGGGGCTTGTATACTTGCTGCATTTTGGAGCGCTAAATTTCCTGGTGCTATATAGCCATTTCTACTTTGCTGCATTAATTGGCAACCAATTAATGTGTATTTATAATGCACTTTTTAAAAGGCTTATATCAGGGGTCCTCAAACTTTTCCAATAGGGAGGCCAGCTGAAAGACGGTGGTGACCGGCATGGGCTGGTGAGGGGGGGGTTGGGTGTGTGGGCTGGCGCGCGGCAGCGGCTTGCTCACCCGGAGATCTCCAAGCAAGCAAGCTACCACCTCCCTGCCCGTGCGGCGAGGCAGTGGCGAGTGCGTGCGTGTGGGGAGGGGGGGAAACGGGGGCGACTCGCTCCCTCAGAGATCTCCCAACGCGTCCAAAACGAGCAAGCCACCACCTCCCACCCGCGTGGTGAGGCGGCGCAGGCTGGATAAATGGGCATGGCAGGCCGGATCCGTCCCGCGGGCTGTAGCTTGAAGACCCATGGCTTATACACTGCTTCCACCTGCCAAAACGAAGGGATACTGCCTCAGGTGCAAGGGTTTTTTGGACGCAAGATATAATTAGGAACCACTATTTTTAAAAACTGTGAACCGAGGCACTCCCCACAGGTAATCCATCTAGAAGACAGTCTGTTGCAAAAAATATCAAGAGTTGGGTACAGTAGCATGAAAGGCAACTAAGCTGTACTAGGTCAAAGCTGTTTGGGGCTTCAGAAGTAAAGAGTACAGAATGACTCAAACATAACTACTCATTTTTTAACTGAAACAATTCCACTCTTGCACAATCATAAAACAGATGAAATACTAGTAACAGTGAAGAAGCTGCACATTTGTTGTACCTGCACTGTTTAACTTTACAAATACTACTCCTTTTAACATATAGGATCATTTAAAAGCTCCTAACTCTGCTATAAACATTTAATTGCCAATATCTAACAACTCCATTTAGATCCAGAAATGGAGAAAAAAGCTTAGTTGGACAAAAGCTTAGAAGAGTACTCGTTCATTAGACTTACAGCAAGTACCCAGCAGTAACAGTCCAGGCTCGTACGAGACCTTTCAGCCACTGTCTCGTGTGCCCTTGTTCAAGCAAAGCTGGCAAGACTACCTGAAGCAAAAGTAGCTCCAGGGAAAGTTCACTCACAGGTGCATCACTGTAGGAATAAAAGCAGACACACAGGTAAAGCACCACCGCACAAGATACCTGAGGAGGGCATTATTAAGCGCCATAGCTGGATTTTATGTATACTGTAATAACTATGTAATTGTGACTGAGAAAACGGGAGAAATGTTACAGCTAGTTGAAAACTGAAATCTACCACCACCACCACCATCAGAAAAAATGTGCTTTCTAATTACCACCAAGCCTGAAACTGTGGGAATCTTACCTATGGTTTAAGGAAACAAGCTAAACCATAGTCTAAAGCTCATTTGTTTCTGTAAATCACAGCTAAGGTTAACTATGGTTTTGGTTTGGCTATAACTGTAACCATGCTTAATGCAAACCAGAAGCAAAAGCTTCCAGTATCCTCCATGGAAGAAGCAGCAAGGGAAGGTGAGCTCATGCACCCAAAGTTTATTATTGTACCGCCATTCCAGTTTCACAAAAGATCTAAACAAGGCCACAATATAATGGCAGTTCATAACTACATATCCAGCAGTTCATTTCAAGTGAGCATTTAAAATACACTTGTAGTCAAAAGGTTTGCAGTCTACAGAAGACAGAAAAATATTTTGGAAAGTAAATTAGCTTACCTATAAAGCATTACATTATATGGAAGAAAATATGGCAGCAGGTATTTAATAATTCGTATAGGAAGCCAAAGCATGAGCAAGACAATTGACCCAAAGACAATCTGGAAGAACAAAAGAAGATGTCTTCTAATACCTGTCTTGCATAAAAGTTAAGGTTAAGATTCAGTCACATGCTAACACAGTTCATTCTATGCTTTGGAGGATCACGAACAAGCCACAAGCTTCCTTCTCCCATTTCAGTTTCCCGATAATCGGTTTGCCATGAGACCCAGATGAGAAAAATCTGGTCAGCAGATCCTCCAATCAGCGTCCACAAACCACTACAGACCTCTTGAGGGGACAAGCCCTAGCCATCGTTTTCTTGATTCAGTTGGCAAAATACAGTTAGCGCTCATTAGGAACCAAATGGCCTATTTGCCAAAAAGTAAAAATTTGTGAGCTGGCAAAACAGGGTTTAGTCGTAGGAACTCTGATACCGAAAGCACATTTTGGAGTTCACATGATCAAAAAAGTTGATGCAGGGAATTCTAACTTTCTTGGTCATAGTGCAGGGCAGAGGGAAACTTGTGGTCTTCCAAAAATTTGGGTCTACAACTCCAGCCAGTACCGCCATTGGTGAGGGATTGTGTGGCTAGAAGGCTAAAACATCTGGGAAGCTCCAAGTTGCCTACCTGTCATGTAGTAAGACTACTAACAAAATATGTAAGAGAAAAGAAAGTCACCAAATGTAATGTGGAGCACAGGTATGTATCTCCAGGTGTGGATTATGCAAGAGAAATCCAATCTAACCTTATGGAATATTTATGTCACAGAAGGCCCATGTCTTATTCTTTCAGCACAACATTTGAAAATGAAGCAAGAATAACAGGCTGAATAATGACTTCTGCTTGGAATATCTAAATTCTAAATTTGGGCAGGTGACAAAACCGAAGCAGTCACATTTTAAACCTTCAGGCAAGTAAGTGAAACCAAAGCACTATATCAGTAATACTGCATATATTATTAAAAACAGTAACTAGTGACGGACATCCTGCACATACCAATTAAAACAGACTTCTGTTAAGTTTCCCTGCAGGGGGAACAGAAATCATTTGTGACGTGTATGCTCCAGTAGCAAAGCTTGTGCATCCAGCACAAAAAATCCACCACACGTAACCACACAACAAGTTTTTCTTCACTACTGAAGCAGCTTGACCCAAAAACAGAACCTGCATGTTTCATTCTATTACTGGCGCATCTTCTCATTCCTCACCAGTTCTCTTAATCCCCCCTTGCTACCTTTCCTTCCATCCCACTTCCCTCATTTCCATATGCTTAACCCCTTCTGCTAAACTAAGAGCTATGTGACTGGAGGAGCTGGATGTCAATTTGGGAACACCGTTTGGATATTTGACACCTCAAGGAGCTAATTATCTTGAACCACATCTGCTTAGAAAGTAAAGTTTTAATTAAATTATTTATTCTGCATTAGCTCTGTTTGCCAGTAATCCAAGTAACTATAGGATATGATCTTTTCCCTAATTTTTTTAAACCCCACACACTCACTCCTAAATGACAGAAAAACTGATTTGTAATTAAAAGATTTTTTAAAATAAACCTCTGGTTTGAACTCCACATGAATACTTCATATGCAACAGGCCCAATACCTATGCATGCATGCCAACAAGTTTAGTTTAGATACCATTCATCTAAACCTTGGGAGTAGTTGTAGTTTGTTACTGCACATGGTGAATTGCTGTGCAAAGCTATATAAAGAGAAACAAACATTTACATCAAGAGAATCTGAATATATAGCCATTTGTTGTAATAGGCATATTATTATTTAAAAAAGAAACTGGAAATATGTCTTTACCACTGATAAAATAAATCTCCTGAGATGTCTATAAATAGGCAAGTGAATCATTTCTTGAACTGGATTAAAGTCTGGATCATTTAGATTCCTCAGAAACCAAAGGACTCCAGGCCTTAGGACCTGAAAAGGAAAATTAACTCTTGAAAGGAAAGTGTAAACAGGGGAAAGAAAGATTAAACATCCTGCAAATAATTTCCCAATCTTTCAACATTATTTTGGAAACCCAAAAGCCGGCCTGTTGGTTTTCAATATGGCCTATTGGCAGGGCTGGCCCGAGATATTTGGCTGCAGTGGTGAAGAACATGATACTGCTCTATCCATTCCGTGCAAAGGGGCCCACTGGACTGCCTGCTGAATCAAGGAAGCTATTTTTCCATCCTGACTCAAGTTAAATGACTGGGGTAAGAAGAGGATCAATATATGGAGTCTGAAACCATGTACTGCAAACAGGGGAGTGTGTGTGGAGGGGGGAAACAGAAGTGCAAAAGGAAGAGCAGACTTATGTCCCACAGGGAGGCATAATCTCTACAGGGAACCATATGCTGGAAGGTGAGTAGTATCTGAGAGCAGGATGGAGTGGCGCAGACCCTTGCGCAGGGTACGTGTAGCTCTCATCACAGCTGCTCACATCAGTGGGGAGACTGGGAGTGCACTGGGTGCTGAGCCCTCTTTCCCACTCCCACCTAGGCAGGAAGAGAGAAAGGACGGGGATTTTGCACACAGGACCTGCTGGGATGCAAGAGGAGGCCAGGAGGATGAAGCAGGCGGCAAGGAAACTGCCCTGCTGTGGGAACCATGTGATTATCAGAAAGGCAACTTCGGGTCGAAGTCAACACACCGCAGAAATTGGACAGCAGGGATTTTGGGAATGCAGCCAGAGAATACATTGGCTCTCCTGAGAAACAAACCGTTTGCCACCACTGCCGCCCCTAAACTGCTTCCACTTCAGCCAGTCATGGTAAGAACTACGGCGCATCTTTTAAAAGTGGGTCCCAAGTGTTCTCTCCTCACCCCCCCTTTCCTTCTGTGTCATTTCTTTTTAGATTGGAAACTCTTAGGAAAGGACTTTAAACATTCAGCTTATGTAAGCTGCTCTGGAAACTATTTTGTTTGAAGAGCGGGGTAAAAATTCTCTAAATAAATCTGCATAGCAGATCACATCACTCAAAGCAGAGTTGCTGCACACGCTTTGGCTTTTATTTGTAACTTCAGAGTTTTGGCCACAGGGCAGTACAGAAATACAATAATCAAACTCTTGTTAGCATCCTGAACTTCCCGGAAAGGCATACATGCAGAGAGAACAGAGTCATCCTTCCAGGAACGACCACACGCCGGCCTCCTTAGTAAAAGTTGCTGCATCACAGCCCTGAAAGTCATGGCCCGGGCCTACATAAGGCTAAACATGCTGCAAGACTTTATTTTAGTAATTGACTGTGTTGATGGATCAATCAAATCTTTCGCTCTAGCATGGCAGCAGATTATTAGTTTATGTCTCTGGTACAACTACAGTATAATAAACATGTATATTTAATGCCAGCACACCTTAAAATTCAGTGTTTAGCCCCATCCCTAACTATTACTTGCTGAAATGGAAGAGCTGATGCCTAAAAATTAATTTTCAGATAAAATTAAGAGATGCCCAAAGGTGAGCAGATTCATGCAAGACAAAAAAAATTAAACGAAAAAATGCTAATCCTTCAAAATCTTCCAGTGTATTTTCGTAACACAGTCAGTGCTTACCTCCCTCAGCAGGAGTATGAAGGATGCAAAGTAGAAGACATACACCATTCCTACAAGCCAGTGTAGGAACATTGTAGTGCCAGGGGCAGACTGAAAGCTCAGCTCTCTGTCCTTCAAAGTAGCATCAAACATTTCCTATGAAAAAGGCAGCAGCAGAAACAGAGGTTTTTCCATTTTGCAGCTACTGAAATTATATCAGCTTGTATCAGTTATATTATGATATCAGTTTTCTGACACTCAGAAAACAATGAACGTGAAAAGAAAATACAGACCCCCACCATAAGTTCCTATGTAATAAAAATATCCAGGAACCTGTGAAATTATTTATTTCATGGAGAACTGATGTAAAACCATCCCTTTCAGCACAAGATTCCAGATCTTAAAATGAATTGCCTTTAGTACAACAAGGACATTAAGAATCTTCCATCTTCAAGTGCTTACAGAGAGCCAGTTTTTCAGCAAATCAAGTCAGCGATAACTTTAAAGGGTTTTATAGGCCTTGGAGTGCCATCTGATGCACAGATAGCCACAGAGAAGTCCTACAACTCCCAGCATTCCCCAGCCAGCCTTACATTTTTCCCTGACAACCCACACTTGTGCACAAGGTTGCGCTGTTATTTCCCCTTTACAGATATAAACTGCATAAGCAACTCTTGCTTGATCATTCCTTTAGAAGCACGTGAGCAACACCTGGGGACTGCACCATGCACAATGGTCCAATTGCCACCAATATGTTGCTCCCTCCCCCCCCCCCCAAAGGCAATTTAGCATGGTGACTTCTTTCCTTGCAAAATCACGATTGGTTTTGCAGCTGCTACGATTCAGCACCACCAAAGATTGCAGCATCACCATGGGGCAGGAGGGCTGTATGCAGTCTAAAAGCCACATGTTGTCCACCCTGTTTTATAATTTCATATAAAACAGCTGCCTCCCAATAAATACCAACCAGAGAGCATATGTCCAGCCACCAGCCACAGATGAGAGGGAAAACACCGATTTCTACCACTACTAACAACGATACCTGCAGAGGGAAAAAAAGCAAGGGGGTTTTTAAGAATCCAGAGCGACTATTTTAACGTTTATTTTAATAATTTTATCTGCATTTAAAGACTAATGTACCTTGACAACTATATAGCACACTCCAAGCAAGCGACGTGATCTCTGAAATTTTACAAGTGCAGCCAAGCCCTGCATAATATGGTCAAGGAAATACAAATAGTGAAATGCTGTTATGTGGGAAATGGTAAAAGTTGCTAGGAAAGCATCCTGACCAAGGGGAAATTCTTAAGCAGGAAACCAGTTGACAGGAGAGCAATGGTCTAACACTGGAGCCATGAATTTGCCCTTGTGAAGCTTTTTAAAGGTTACAGGAAATTTGGGGATTTTTAAATTCTCTGCATATCTGGGAAAACTACATTAACTTGAGCTCTGAATCATGATAAAAGGTGATTCAAATCTACTTGTCAATGCAGGCATTTGCTGCAAACTAAGTGAGAGCCGAGCACAAAAAGATATTAGAAGGACAGGTGAGGAGAAAGGGCTTTTTAAAACACAGCAGGATACATTCCAATATCTGACCCACAAATTGGTTCTGTTAATTAAATTAACTGGGATGCAAGTGTAGACTTGTGGCCTTATCACATAAATGTTTACTTGAAACTAAACCCCATTGAGTTGAATAAAGTGTGCACAAAATTGCAGCATTAGAGCATTGTTTCTCCTCCGCAGGAAGCCAATTTCCAATTTTCCAGTGATACAACAGAGTTAAGCACAGTTTAACAGGCACTCCTATAAATATGCACTTACAATGCCGGGAAATTTCCTCACTACCATTAAGAAATCAGGAAAGGGCCACAGGACTTCCATTCAGACCTTCCTCTCCCTTGCAGCCGATTTCCTTCCAACCTTTATGATTACAACACCAACCTTAACCATGCTTGAAGCTAACAAGCAATCCTTCTCAACCGATATTTGAAAACTGGATTTGAAACTGGTGTGAACGCTTTCTTAAGAATGCACACTGCTATTATTAATGGTGTTTAACACTGGGGCCTTTGTAACAAATGCAATTTAAAGCAAAACCAGGGAAGGATGGAAGGAAGTTCTGCTTCAACAGGCAGCCTTGTTCCAAAGTCTGAAGGGCATATCAAAGATTCCCCATGGAGAGTCTGCACTATCTCCACACGGGGGAAAGGAAGGACATTCCTGTTAAATCTTAGCACACTGCACGTGCAGTGACCATCCATCAATCAAATGCTGAACACCTCATCAAGTAGGTACTTTTGAAAGGATACATGACAAACAATTAATGAGACTGCCAGCAGCATGTAGCCAACTATCGTTGTAATCAGGCCTTCAAAGTGGGAAGCTTGAACCTGAAAAGGAAGGAAACATTACACACACTCCCCTCACTCACCCCTCGCGCCACACATCTGTCCTTGCTGCCTGTGAAGATCCCTTGTGCATCGACGGCACTGCATAAATCAATACTGCAATCCTCTGCTATGTTTTTACTTCACTGCTAAATAGACTGAGTGCCTCTTAATACCACTTTTGACTGTGTTGCTATTTGCAAAGTGTCTTTCATTATTTGTCAAAGACCACCCAGAGGACTCATCAGCAAATGTAAGCAGGTATCGACAGAAGGGTAGGGCAGTCCCAACATTCACACACTGCAATCCTCATCCCTGCAGGGAGTTCCTTGGTGGAGCTGCCCCTGCATCGGCTTAGGAGCATCACCGGCAGAGGCAGAGGGTGTGGTGTGGAAAACCACTACAGGCAGCAGCAAGGATTAAGTTTTGCAAGTGGGAGTTGGATCTGTTGCATCCAAAAGCCCATGGACCCCCCAAAAGCCCCCCAGATCTGGTCCCGATCAGGTATGCCAGGCTGGAGCTGGTGGGGTAAAACTCCCCTCACTGCCAGCAGAGGAGGAGGCTTGCAATGATAAACATGTCAAATGGTCTCCTTCTGCCTGACCACTGCAGCCCCCATTCTGGTCATCATTAAAAAAGGACTGTGCAATGAGCTGACTGAGCTGAGAGGAGTAAAACCAGAAATGTCCACAATTAAACAAAGATGAAAAGGTATGATTTAAGCCTGAAGGTTTCCATATGCTCTGACAAGGATCCACGCATTTTGGCTTGCCTGTTCCTTTCAGGGAACACTGATTTGCAAGCAGGGAAGTTAATCCATGGAAACTAAAACCCGTTTAGCTGTTACTAAAAATGTTTTCCCGTTTTCATTCTGAACTCACAAAATGCATATACTTACAAATTCTTCAAAACCCAGTCCAACAATAGAGAAGTGACCGATGTGGTAGGGACAAAATGCTAGGAAAAAGAAAAAAAAAGTAATTGAAATGGCTAATTCTGGCAGCTCTAGTACGTGGCCCACTTCAGCTACTGAAGGGACAGCATTATTTGCGTGTTTACGCAGTTGAGCCAGATACACAGACCCTGGCCGTGTTGCAAATCACTCCTGCGCAACAGTCAAGGGCAGGAATGACCCACCGGGAGCCTCCAGCCCAGGCGCTCCCCTCCCCTCCCCTCCCTTCCCTACACAGCCAGGAAGAGGGCTTCGAAAGCCCTTTCTTTCCCTCAATCATGTTTCTATTAAAAATAGCCATGATGATCTTTAACAATTTCCAGAATTGTATTAATGTAATGTCTTTATTAAGTGAACCAAAGGTAACAAAACATGTTTGGGCTGTTCAAGAACACCTGATCTCTTTATCAGACAAGATGCTACAAAAGTCAGGCAGGGTGGGTGGGAGGGGGGATGGACATCAGCGTAAAGCTACAGCATACGCATGTCCAGAGTACCAAACTGAAGTGGGTAGGTGGGATCTGTAGACATTCAAAGTAGGCTCTGCAAGTCATGGGAAAGTTCAGTTTCTGTAAATGAGCAAATGAATAGTGGCAACTACATGAAAAGAAAATCAGATGCTCTTTCCTTGATAAGAGAAACTACACTTAAGAGTCATCTAGCCCTCCTCTGATCTGGACCCACATGTGCAGCAATTATCTCAAAATAATTGAAAATATAGTCACTTACCAAATACAAGTATGAATAGTGTGTTTAATGACACTACCCAGAATACATGTTCCTGGAAGGGGGAAAATAAATGAGAAACAGAAACGCATTAGGTAAAAACTTGGAATTCTTTATCTTCTGTTCTTATTTATGTCTGTCTTATTTTTCCCTACTATGAACTCAATTAAACATGGGCTTTTCTCAAAAAACCAATCAAACCCCTAACAATCAGCTTCCATTACAAGAGGGCTGCAGTTTCTCACCAGCACTCTTCCTAACCAGGAAACGGCTAGTTTAAGATGTCACACAAGTTCAATGTAAGGGGGAAATGCCTACACAGAAGTCTGCAAGCCATGCAGCTGGTATCAGGGCTCTTCGCTTGTCTCACCAGCAGTCAGAGGCACATCATAGTTAATTAGGGACAAGCAACAGGTGGAAACCACTCTCAGTACTCAAAACAACCTGACATCTGAACCCAGGCACACTGGATTGTTTTGTGGGTTAAACAACGCTAACTTCACCTAAGAAGAAATCACGGGTTAACTCATGCAGAAGGCTACCAATGGCAACTAGTCATGGTGGCTACACGTTACCTCCAGTAGCAGGGGCAGTATGCCTATCTACAGCAGTTGCTGGGGAACATGGGTAGGAGCACTCATAACCTGTTTGTGGACAGCTGGCTGGCATCCCATGCATAGACTGTTCCTGAAAGCTGGAGGCAGCTAGCAGGCAGAGAATGTCCCTGCAAATGAGGAACTTAACAACCCACAATTTGCTGCCAAATGCCACCATGAAGTGTAAACTAGGTCATACTGAGAAAATATGCCAAACATTTCCAGGGTTAAAATACTTGGATACTATTCCTTAAAGCAAAAAAGACAAAGAGGTCGCATAAGACATATTTCAATTACAAACAATTATTTTAATACAATCCAAATTCACTTACTAAAAAAACTAGAGATCCATCCAATCCGAGCATCTGGAAACAAGAGATAATATTGGTTAAGGACTGCAAAATAACATGCCTCCACAGAAGGTTCAAACAAAACAAGATGAGGACAACAGTTGCAGATAAAGCAACAAAGCATGCAGATAAAAACAACCAAGGAATGTTTAGAGCAGTTGTCAGTGTTTCAGTTGTTTTTACTGTTTTCCCACACAGGGTTCAACTGTTTAAGCCTCAAGCAACCGCTACTTCCTGCCATTTTAACAATACACCAGATAGGATGCTAATGGGCAGCCTTTAAACAATTTAAATAAATAAACAGGATTCAGAAAGCACAAGCTGAGTTCTCTCAGGCAGAGCAGGCTTGCCTGCCTTCTCCCGCTGCTCCTCTCCCACAGCTGTTCTTGACAGCCAGGGTGAACAGCACAAGAGCATGAGATCAGACACAGAGGCTCTGGCACATGGGAAGATTGGGCGGAATTCAGGGGAGAACATCTCACTTTAGCACAAGTGCCACAAGGCACCTTTGGATCCAAACCATATCCTTCTTTCCACAGAATTACATATCACACTCCATTAATAATCCTTTCCAGTCCTGAAAAGAGAGTGAAGGCCATTGTCCAGAAGCAGCTGTATACTCAGAAACATCTAGACTAAATTTTCTAGATGTGGACAATGCCACACCAAAGGTGATGGTTCAGCAAAATTCATCCATTAACACAGAAACATAGAAACAGAGTAAGTCAGAAGGGGTCTTCTGGGTCATCTAGTCTGACCCCTGGCTCCAGCCAGCTCCACTCATGATATGCCCACCATGTGCATGTCTAGCCTATCTTTGAACGCCCTCACCGACGGGGCCTCAACCACCTCATGTGGAAGCCCATTCCACACCTCAGGGGTCCTAACCATCAGGAAGTGCTTCCTGGCATCAAAACTGAATGATCCCCCCCTCGCTCAGAGAAAAGAATCTCCCAACAAGCCGCCAGCTTGCTCTCCACATATTGTGGAGAACTTCAAGGACTTATTAGAAATTATAAGGGTTAGTGGGATGCTGGGGGTGTTCTAAAGTTGCTCATTGCTTTCTCCTTTTCTGGCATGGCCCCGGCAACAGGGTCTGGCAACAGCCAGAAGTTCCTATCCCTTTAAGCAAGTCTTCTTCCTCCTGGTACCCAGGCAGCGCGGTCAAGATCAGGCAGGCTCTCTTCGCCAGACTTGACAGTGGGAGTGATAAGACAGGATGAACAGACAAATCGGTTTCCCTAATGCCAAACAAGCTTCATCCTTTGAGATCCACCAGCGTGATGCATGCTGCCATCCGAGCATCTCCATGCAGCCACCAAATGCTTAGCAGTTTGTTGGCCGAGCCTCCAGATAGACAGCAAATTTCAGGAGGAGGTTTTTTAAAAAATTAAGGACCAAATTACTTCTATGTTTTCTGTAATACAAGAGTAAATGCTCTTTAAATAAAAGTAGCAACAGAATACACATTTCTGTGTAAACAAACAAGGTGGAAGCAGGTAAAGAGACTGGGTCTGAATTAGTTGAAGGTCAGGGGTAGGTTTTATAGGTACTCAGCAACATTTTTATGAACACAGATTTAAAATGAAATCATCATTCATCGGAAAAACACCTCTTTTCAAAACAATGCAGGCAACCCTGCCCGTGATTTTTCTACATTCTCCAGAGTTGCAATACGCTTTGAGGAAAATTTATTAAGTGGTAATGAAAGAATACAGTTGCCTAGTTACCCAAGATAAATTTATTCTGGCAAAGCAATAACATCACTGAAACCTCAATGTTTCCTCCTTTTGTAAGTTTCTACTTCTTAAGCCTATGGAGGAGGGGATACTTTTGAAAGGCTCCACAATGTGCATTTAGATTTCCATTCTTCAAACACAATCACCAAATATCACTCTGTTAACATCGCTGCAGTACTCAGGTATGGAAGACAGCATGTTGAAATTTGCCACGGGTCTCCTGCCCAAGACTTTCCCTTTGCTACGGTGGAAGGGGAATAAAGCAAAGAGTATGAAAAGCCAAGCACTGCCTTTTCTGTACACCTTCATTTTTCCCTTTCCCTTTGACAGATTTCATGGGTGCTTGATCAGCCCTATTGAAAATCCCATTTTAAAGGAAGCCCAAGCTTCGAGAGCTGTCAGAATGTTGTGTTCCCATGAATGGGCAGACTCACACTTCTCCGGCTTCCCAAACACCTACTGGTGAAAAGGGTGGTAGATACTGAGGACAGACAGGTTCAACCAAGAAAACTAAAGGATCTTGCCAAGAAGGGGGTGATCTACTTGCCATCTCCTTTTGCAAGTAAAGATCCCTCACAGCTTAGCTTTCCTTTTGCAGGCTTGCTTAATCAACTGCAGGCTTGCTTAATCAACCTCCATGGCTGTACCTCCCGTGCTTTTGACAGCAGGCACCAGGACACTAAACGAAGAGGCCTTTTCATTTCAGCCACCCGAAAGAGCACAGCTGCACATTTGCAAATAACCGAAAGAAACTGCAGAGCATTGATGGAGTAGCGGTGGCCCAGGTAAGCTCAGCAGGAATGGCAAAAGGTTTTCTGCCGTCTTCCCTGTACACAAGATGGGGCTGGCTGCTTGGGTTTGTAAAACACAAGAACACATCGTGGGTACAACAGCCCCTAGAACAAGCCATGGATTGTCAGGCTGCCTTGTTACCAACAAACAGTGCCCCTGAAGTATGCAGTCTGGGTTTCTACAACCCACTTAGTTACCCATTATAGGATGCATAGCATGCAATCCCAATTTTCAGGTCTGAATAGGGTAATATCACATCAGACTCTTTAGCCAACATTTCCATATACAGAGCATGAGAGCCGTATACAGACTTGAAGCACAAAACAGTGTTACAGAGGTGGCTAAACAAAGAGTTACATAAAAATGCAGTAAGTAACAGAGGGATGACTTTTTAAGTAGGAAAAGCTGCTTCGGGGGAATGTAATAGATATCAAGGAAACTGCAAGAGAGAAAAGGGTACCTGAACCTGCTCTAGATTTCTCCCTTTTCACACTGTGCATTTGTCCTTACAAATACCTTATTTCCACCAATCCCAATCTCCTACTCCCCAGAGGGCTTTTTCCTACTGAAAAGAGGGGATTGGGCTACCATTTTAAGCGTTCTTGATGTAACATGTAGTTTAGCTAACATGAAAAGAAGGCTGAAACAATCATCTATGACATCAGAGTACAGAAGACCATCCTCAACTGCTTGGTCTGCAAGAGTAAGAGAAAAAACAATGACCCCTGAAATATACGGGCTTTACTTACCCTCTCCCAGGTAAGCTCTTCTGCTGCTCGATCCCATTCCAAAGCATTCCAGTTCATGTCATCTAAGTAAATAATTACATTATAATTTACAAAATTGTGAGATGCAAATCTCTAAGAGAATACCAACAGTACACAGGTATCTTGTAGCCATTTTAAGATGCCCAGTTGTTCTAGAAATAAAAACTCATGGCTTCACTGTTCAGACAGACAGATACCAGGAACACTGCTTGTCCTAGAAAAAAGGTTACATTTAACCAACCACTCTGAAAGCATGAAGCTTCTTTCTTCCTACTACATTACTCTTATTAGAGTCCATTTCTTTCATTGTACGTTTGCATAAACCTTTAAGCCACCTAAAGCTTTGGTTTTACTGACAAGCGTCAAATTTAATATTGCTTATGAAAGTGAGCTGCTTCCATGAAGTAAGGCGTAAAATCAGAGAGTCCAAAATACAAACCTAGTGTTCTAGAATATGACATGAATATAGTCATTAAAAAGTAACTAATTACCCTGTGCGCCATTGTTTGCATCTGCTGCATCTTCTACCACGACATCTTCTTCATCTTCATTGTCTTCCTCTTCCTCATCTGCCTGTTCTTCCTGGATTTCTGGATTTTCACCTACAACTGCATTCTCAGCAGGCTGGTCCACAGGCTGGTCAAGTGCAGCATTTTCAGCTCCACCATTTCCTGCACCTTGAACCTGCACAGAGAAACAGCCAACACAGCTGAATTAAAGCGTTCTGTTATATTTTGGTGTCTACAACATTATAAATTATCAGTGACGCCTTTCAGCTAGTATAGTCCTTTTGAATATTAAGGAAATGTCTTCTCTTCTTATTACAGGTTACACAAAAACATACAAATAGTTTAACACATACAAGAATAACAGTTCTCACAAGGATCAATGCGCATGAAAATCATGTGAAATATTTTATACAATTAACATGGCTTTAGGGCTCTACCGTGCCTCAAATTATGGCATCCTTCTTATCCATCTCCACTTTGCCTGCATGGATGCCAAGAATCCAGAAGAGAAAAGAGAGGATCTTACAACATGAATTCTCTCAGAGGAAGATTCTTCTGACAACGCACTGGGAAATTTCACATGTCATGGTAACCTACACTGTGAATAAGCTGCAACCTAAGCTGAAAAGAGTTTGCTTCCATTTTAGATTAAGTGTAGCTTCCTTTGATGACCAAACACTAAATATTGGTTAATCCAAACAATGATTACTTGAAATAAGACAGTTTTATGAACCATGTTTTGAAGGTGGCTTGTTTTATCAAACCTTAATTAAGATCAACCTCAATTTTTTCTAGGTTTGGATGTCAGAACAAGATGTAATTAATCTAAAATGGAAAGAAAAGCTGCCACAGACTCCTCACAGCTGCACTGCATGGAAGGAAACATGTGATGAAACTTACTCCTATAACATTAAACTAAGAGTAGAGAGATCTCGGATGATCTGCAATATTTTAGCAGGATTACTGACAGCAACCGTTAGCAACAACAAAATCTCTCCCATCTTGCTCTGAATTATATCACTGCAATCAAGAAGTTTGGGATAACCAGGACTGGATTTATATATTCAAGAGTTCTGTTCAATTCCAGTAAACAAAGGGAATTCCTGTGCTGAATTTTTTTTCACTCTAAGATTTGGTTCGCACATAACAATCCCAAGTATGGCTTCAGTGAGGGTTGCTGTTGAATAGTGGGTTATGAATTGTTTGTTCCACATTATGGTTTAACTTTAAGTGTAGACAACCCAGAGTTCACAATTCAACAACAAATCATGGCTTCTCTTCTTGGGTTGTTATGCTGAGTAACAGTGGGTGGATCTGCATGATCACAGAAGGACTATTATCATTATTTTGATGTATTTATTTTATAAACTGCTCAAAAGCCAAGTTATGTGGTTAACAACAGAAAACAATAAGATATAGTATAAAATAAAAACCACAATAAAACAGTAGAAAACTCAATACAAAATCTGGAACAGTTTAAAACCATTCAAACAATTAAAACATATTTGATAAACTATCCTAGCTAAGAGGAAAAAATGCTGTCATAAATGTCCCCCACATGCCGTTAAAAGCCTTGGCATAGAAGATGGTTTTAACCTGGCACCAAAACGATTGCAGCATTGCTGCCATACGGGCCCCAGTCAATGGGCCGCCAGTAAGAAGGCCCTTTCCCTTGTTGCCGACAATCCAGTCACCTTTGGAAGGGTACTCTGAGGAAGGCCTCAGTACTGAGCACAGGGTCCAGACAGACTGACGTCGGAAGAGGCATGCCGACAGGAGCTGCAGTCACAAGCTGTGTAAGTTAAAACTGGTATACTGACAGCCAATGAAAAGAGACTAGAACCATTATTCTAACTCCAGACCTTCTGGCCCCAGTTATACTCTGGCTGCAACATTTTACACAAGCTGCAGCTTCTGAACCGATTTCAAGGGCAGACCCACGTAGACTACATTGCAGTAATCTAACCTGGAGATTACCAGAGCATGGATTACTGAAGCCAGGATTTCTCTATCCAGATAGCTGGGCTACCAACCAAAGCCTATAGAAGGTACTACATGCCACCAAGGTCATCTGGGCCTCAGGTGACAAGGATTGCTGAAGAAGGGTCTCCAAACTATGAGTGTACTCCATGCAACCTCCATCCAGTAAGTAGTACTGAGACAGGAACTCAGTCTTGTCTGGATGGAGCTTCAGTTTGTTAGCACTCATCTAGCCCATTGTCACAGCCAGGGACTGATTTAGCACATCCGCAGCCTCACTTGATAGCAATGAAAAGGAAAAGCAGAGCAGTGCATCATTAGCATAACAATAGCAACACATTCCAAAACTCTGGATGATCCCACTCAGCAGTTTCATGTAGACGCTGAATAGCATGGCGAACAAAACCAATCTCTACAGAATTCCACACTGATTAATCCACAGGACTGAGCAATATTCGCCAAGCATCACATTATGGAACTGGCCGTCCAAGCAGGAGCAGAACCAGCGCAATGCAGTACCCTCCACTCCCAGTTCAGACATCTCAGAAGGGGATCATGGTCAATGGCATCAGTAGCCACCGAGAAATCCAGGAGTATCAGCAGGATTACGCTCCCTGTCTCTCTGTGAACATAGGTCATCATGCAGGGTAACCATAGTGGCTTATTTTCCCTCCTTGCACATGCTGATCATGAGCCACTTAACCTGCACAAGCCACGGGTGTCAGGGTGATCTGTAAACCACCCACCCACTCTTCCCAGGTTTGGATGCCACGACAACCCATTCCCAGTCAGGGTAATTGGGCAGCTGACAACTGGCATGCACAGCAAGGGAAAATAAGCTGCCATGGCAAAACTTGACAATGACTGGGCCAAAGCCTCCCAGTGAACTTTGTGGTCAAGTGAGGACTACAATTTGGCTCCCAGAGGTCCCAGTCCAAACCCCAACCACTACACTGTACTGGCTCTCTGAATGAAACCACACGAGACACTTGATAATGGAAACCAGCAAAAAAGTAGCTGATTCAAATGGACAACCTCTGGTCAAACTCAAACCACGTCCATGATGTTTTTGCCAGAAGAATGCCTCCTGAAATAGCCTATATATATATATATCAATCAAACAAGTTTTACTGACAGTTCCAGATGTTTGGAGCATATGGGGGGGGGTCAAGAGAAAAACCTGATGTGCAACACAGCAAGAATCCAAGCTGAACATCACAAATGATAAACTGAAGGATGTATTACCTCATTCTGTTGCCCAATGCCATTAATAGCTTGCTGCTGATTTTGTTCCAGCCACTGTGGTGCTCCTCCATGGACAATTTGTTCACGTAACCATACAAGGCTGATGAATGCACACAGTGTGCATGTCACCACAAAACAACCTTGCAAACAGTCTGCCAGTAAATTCTCTCTGTTTAAGGAGACAATCCACAGATTATTTACAACAGTGATCAGAAATGCAGCCTTAGGTAAAGCCCACAAGGAGGCCAATCTCCTTTGTCCTCTTCATATAGAAAATCGCACTGAAGCCGTTGGCCATTTCAGGGTAAATCTGTTCATCTATTGCGCTCATTACAAGATGCTCTCCTGGTGCATAAACCTAATTGTTATCACGTTCCCCTGCTGTGTCTTCATTCACCCATCCAGTGCTATTAATTGGACCTTTATCACATTGATGCACCAGTTGAAATAAAGAAAGGTGAACCATTCTAATTCTAAAAATTATTGGAATCTCTTGGAGGTTCTGAGTTTAAAGAAAAGGTGCACTGAGCAAAGTATTTAAGGTCTGTGAGTCACCAGAGGAATTAAAAATGATAATCAGACCACTAATACCTTCCCTGTGTATTTGTATGCCTGTACCGTAAACAGTAATCTCTAATAACATTTCATGGTTTTACAATAATTTTCATATTACGTCTTATTTTATTTTTAGATTATGAGTATTGGGATCTGAGCCCCATATGCTACTTATATGAAATTAAAAACTGATAGTCCGCTTTCTGCCACGGACTCTCAAAGTGGCTTACAACCACTGGAACATAAAAAAATAATTAAAACACAATTAAGAATAGATGAATGTACAGAATTATATGTTTTACAAGCACAAGAGATAAAGGTTACATAATGGGTTCAAATAGGATGGAACTGAATAGCTCTGTTTGCCAAGAGCAGAACATTTCTTCTGCACTGCCACTGGGCTGGAATTCTACATACATCTATTTCACTGTTAACAAGACAAATAATATACCAAGCAGATATTCAAAATTCCTAGACTTCTCTAGAAGCAAGCACCACTTAACTCCATTTAAATCAATCAGATGCATTTCCAATCAATATGTTTAGCATAAACATAAAATATTTCAAAGGACTGATAATACAAATACTTTGTGAACACCCCAAACCAGAAAAGGGCAGGCTGGTTCCCTGCAATTCGTTTGGGTGGGCAGCTGTGCATTCACACATATGGGCTTTATCCCCACACACAGCCTGCCTTCAGCAAGTTTAATTGGAGAGGAATGTTTGGCAGGGAGGTCCCCCAACATCACAAAACACATGTTGTGTGCAGATTACCACCTAGTCCCAGTTTCCTGAGATCATCCACTGTGGCCTCAGAAGGGGGAGGAAACTCGTTTCACACTGCCATTGATGCGCCACCAAACACTTGGCATGGAGAGTAGCATTGACATCGCCACCATGGTGGGTGGGCTGCATGAATGCAAGGCTGATCGCTGGAAAGACCGCAGTTACAGGCAGGCAACCCGTCTTTCTTCATGGTCCATGCGCATCACACACGTGCATCCATTCTGTCCATGAAAGGAGGAGCACAGCCCCAGAGAGTTCGGTCCCGTGCCAGCTTGGCTGCAAAAGGCACTGCACAGCAAGGTCTCTGCAGGCACAAAAAGATCCCACTGGGAGCGCTCCAGTGAGAGAAGATGAGTCATAGAATATTGGGTGTAGCTGCCACGATGCTTGCGACGCCACTGGCTTGTTGTCTTTGGCAGCAACAGTACTGCAATAAACTCGATTTGCTATGCAACGGACAATGTGAACACCTTCCAGACAAGACAGGTGAACCTGGATAACCTTGTTCCACCTTGCTTGTTCAAGTACGCAACCACAGAGGTGTTGCCTGTGACAATCTGGATCTGCCGTCCCAACAATTTGGTACCAAAGCTCCCAAACACATTCTATACCGCAAGGATCTCTGGCACTCCAATGAGCCAGTCTGTTGCACCTGCACAAGGTAATGACCTGTTGACATCATCAGGCCTAGAAGCCTGTGAAAGAAGTGGTCTGATGGCCTTTGTATAGCCTCTTTGCTATGCTAAGTATTGTCTGCACTTGATTGCAAGGGAGGTGCACTTCACCAGAACTTACTGATGCATTATTCATACAGTGGCACCTCGGTTCACAAACACTTCTGTTTGCGAACAATTAAGACAGTTCGGCAAAACTCTGCATCGGGTGACAAACGCTTCCCCACAGCACTTCCCGTGGCTTTCTTGATATATCCTATCTAGGAGGGAGAGGGGGAGCGGGAGCAGGAGGCTGGAGAAGTGGATGCAGGGCAGCTCCCCCAGCCGGAAGAGGGCCGCGAGGAGGGAGGTAATGGCTGCTTTCCGTGGGCCGAGGCGAGGGGAGGCGAGGGACGGGGCTGTGGCCAGCCGAGCGGGACGCCTCCCACCTCTCCCTGCCGCAGGGGGAAGAAGCATGGCGGCTGCTTGACGACAGCAGTGGCTTGCCCTGAGAAGGCCGTGGCGGAGGCACGGGAGCCGTGGCCCCACTCCTGCTCCACCTCGACCCGGCTGCTCCAGGGCTCAGCGAGGCGGCCACGGCTTGGCCCGCAACTCCAGCTCATATTTTTGTGGTTAAAACAAACGGATTAACCTTATTACACTGAACGTTATAGGGAAATTTGATTCGGTTCGTGACCAATACAGTTCACGACCAGAATCGTGGAACGAATTAAGTTCGTGAACCGAGGTACCATTGCACATGTAGTTATAGGTCACCTATAACTGCCAAGGACTTCCAGTACCACACAGGTATACTGAATGCTTGTTGTGGGAATGGGCTCAGTTTCAAGGTGGATGCATTTCAAGGTAGCCATGCATTTCATGAAAACTTGCAGCGCCACAATTAACCCCAAAGGTCAGAACCCTTCTCTTGTATGAATCATGCCCCAGACTCAACCTGCAGAAATTCTGGCTGTCATGATGTATGTATCACAGTGTGGAAATATGAGTCCTTGCAGTCTATATATGCAAACCAATTGCCATTGTATAAATGTGGCAGAATTGATTGTCGTGCAATCAAAACAACAACAGAGGAGAACCTCATCTAATAATGTTTGTAAAGAAGAAGAGAAGGTCTTCACAAGGCAAGCAAAATTATGGTTGAAGAGAGACTGAGGGAACAAGCAAGAACCTGCTAAGGACATGAGCACTGGATGCTGAGGCAGGGTCCCCACCAAAAATTCTTTGGCTACAGAAGCCTCCCAAAGTGATGGTCCAGGCACTTGGACAGCCCATATGTGTGATGCATGGAGTCCACAAAAGAAAAAGCTTCGTGGGGACTTTAATTACCCAATAATTTAGTCTGAAGCACTGTTCCCTAGTTATTTTGTGCGACCATTAAGAACTTCACTTCACGTATAAAACAAGCACACTGGACTATAATCAGGAATATAGATCTGGTTTTCTACTGTAAAGGAAAGTGTGACAGTAGTCAATGTATAAGAAAGACAACGAGCAACTCAGAAGTAGGGTATTAAAAAATCAGAAAGCCAGTACTTACGTTGACAGCATATCTAATGGCAGAGTCAGTAATGAGCTCACAGAGCCAGTAAACAAGCACTTGTAGATACGGCCTAAAAGAAAAGGACAACAGTAATATCAGCAATTTCTGCCAGTTAGAGTTCCAAAGGGGTATTTTCTTGCTTTCCAAGGATTATTTTAAGCAGGATTACCAAATACTACTACTATCATCATCGCCATCATCGTCATAAATTTTAGTTCTATTTCTCCCAATAGCTGAACCTCTCTGGGTGATATACGACAGCTGTCAAAATACAATAACGTGCAATACTATAATATAAACACATAAATATAAAATGATATGTACATTATTCTTCGATGCGAAAAGCACCCGGAAAGATGGTGGATTTCAAAGTGAAGAGTGAGGGATGTTCCAACAATCCAATCCTCATCTCCAAAACCTGGCCAAATTTACACCTGCGTTGTGTCCAAAAGACAGTTTTAGCATTACAGGAAAACTGCAGCAGGTGCTCCAAACTTCATCATATCAGGTTATTAAACACCAAATAAAGTATCAGTGAGAATTTGCTTTGGTGTGCAATGTCAGAGGGGTGGGAACAGACTGAATCAATTACCAAACCCATTTTTATTATCAACAAAAATGTCTTAGACGTTCCCTGTATACAGGCAAATAAAGAATGACAACAGTCTACAGCAGAAGAACATGATACAGGATTAAAGGCATGAATAAGCCAGGTAATAACTTTCACCAGCACTTTACCACTTAAAGTCTAATGGCAGCAGCAGCCAAAACGAAGAGCAGAAGAAACCGCACTCGTGCCATTTATTAAGCTCATTTGGGAACATACACAAAAATGGCTGCCTCCCTCTCACAGCAGCCCTCCTCCTCCTCCCTCTGACACTATCTACGACTCAACACGGCCAGAACAGGAGAAAAGCAAGCTTGCCAGGAACTCCTGCTGCGAAGAGAGTCCTTCCATGGATAGCCTAACCGTTCCGCCACAAGCACTAGTGCTGCTGCTTCCGATACCCGAGGCTCGCTCTTGGGGAACGAGGCACCCGCGTGTGAGCGGTGCTTGTTCTGCAGCGAGCACGCTCATCTTCTGGCAATCACCGCCTAAGAGACCATCAACACTAAGATGCTCTCACAGCTTTATGTACAGAAGAGGAGATACTTACATGCTGTAAGAGGTACAACTCCCAGCCACGCGAAGGCCACAAGTGTATAGTGAAACCAGTATCGTATTGCTGTGCCAATACTTGTAACCAGTCCAGCAAAGATGTCTTGGATTGGAAGCCGGGAAGGCATATCTGGGGAATAAACTACAAAAAGGAACACGCTGTGCAAATGAAAGGAAAATGAATTGCGGCACTGCACAGCTTGCACAAATACCAACTTTGGCGAGTGATGTAAGGAATCACTCTGGTGTTTGAAATTAGTGCTCAATCACGACAAAAACCTGCCTTATACGGATCCCGTTCATACATAACGGCAGCAATCTTGAGCTACTTAATCCCACATTTGCCATAGCTTATTTTCCAATAAGGAAATAATTCAGTCTTTGGAATAGGCAACCTCTGATTAAAGTTCATTTCATTATGTATGAACCAGGACACTATAGGTTAATCCCCAGTTAACCAATAATTAGCCATAGTGCCCGGGTTTGCACATTAATGTGCAATGCATATTCAAAATGGAATTGCACACAGTCAGTGAATCATGTGTTAATTAACAATTAATTAATATTAAGATATTAGGAGGGTGAGTACTCAGAGGAGGGCTTTCTCTGCGGTGGCGCCCAACTTATGGAATGCGCTCCCCAGAGAGGTCCACCTGGCGCTGTCATTATTTGTTTTTCGGCACCAGGCCAAGACCTTTTTATTTAAATGTTATTTTAATTGTAGGTTTTATTTATTGATTTTAAAATTTTTTGCCAGGATGTCTCCAGTATTTTATGTATTTGTACAGACTGTATTTATTTATGGATTGGAAGCCGCCCCGAGGCTTATGCGAATGGGGTGGCATGTAAGTTTTCCAAACAAACAAACAAACAAACAAACAAATAAAATAACTGATACTTCTCTATCTCTCTCCTGCCTTTTTTCCTTTTAAGGAACTCAAGGTAGCTTACGTAATTCTCCTACTCCTCCTCTCAATCTTACCCTCACAACATTCCTATGAGGTAGGGTGGAGTGTGACTGGCCCAAGGTCACCCAGGTAGATCCATGGCTGAATGGGGACTAGAATTCAGATCTCGCATTCCAGTCCTGCACTCTTAACCACTACCCCACACCAGCATTCCTGTCATGTACCAGTACAAAATCCAGGACAGCAAATTAACTTTCCATGCAAAATTCAACTTTTTATTTTCTTCCTGTCTTTTCAGTTTGTTTGTTTGTTTGTTTGTTTGTTTATTTAGAAAGCTTCTATGCTGCCCTATTCGCCGAAGCCTTGGGGCGGCTCACAACAAAAGTTGTGTTTACATTATTTTCCCAGTATTTCTGATCACTTCTATGGGAAACATTCTAGCTTCTCTAAGATTCTCTAACCAGCTTCTCATCCTTTAAGGCATGGGCCCTCAAACTACAGCCCGTGGGCCATATCCGGCCCACCATGCCCATTTATCTGGCCTGCCTGACAGTTTCTGGACTTGCATGCCCACACCTTCCTTGCCCCGTACGCACCCGCCATTACCCGCCTTGCTGAATGCGTGTGGAGGCAGTGGCTTAGTTGCGCGGAGATCGTTTTGGACTCGCCTGGAGAAAATGATCTCCGAGCGAGCAAACTGCTGCCTCGCGTGCCCGCCCCCCCGCCGCCCTGCCTCCCCTCCCCTCCTGCATGCGCGCCTCTGCCTTGCGTGGCCTTGCCGTGCACACCCGCGCACTGGCACCTCCCGCCCCTGCCCCCTCTCTGGCCCGCGCGCACCGCCTTACCGGCCTGACCCCGTTGAAAAAGTTTGAGGACCTCTGCTCTAAGGTTTCCTACTGTAACGAACTAGAGGTAGTATGCGAAGATCAGATTTGAATTGTTTTACACTCCAAAATTATGTTGTCTGCCTCATCTCCACCAAGGCGATATTCAGTTCCAGGGATCCACTAACACGGTTAAAAAGAGCAACACTGCACAGGAGTGTACTTCATACTAATAGTTTAAATATATTGCAGCACCTGAGCAATTTCATTTTCTGGAAGTAAGCATGGCCTTAGCAACCCTGGAAAGCCAGCTAAAGTCTGTCTGTACTCCAAAAAACAAACACCACTTCATGTAAACATAATAAATTGTTGCCATTTACTTACTTGGTGTGAAAGCGAATCTGTGTTTACATAATTCACAATATTCTTTTCTGCTGTGCTTGAGCCACTGAACTAAGCTGCAATAAAAATGTAGGGCAATAATGCATCATTTCCAAACATACAAGATTTTTGAGTACCATAAATCAAGTAAATACAGCAAAATGTACTTTCAAAAAGGAAAACATTGGTTCTTAAAATATTTAAGGAGAGAAAAATATAAGTAATATTCTCTCCTACTGGAAACATGTCTGAAGAACATATGCCTGTAGATCATGGTCACTGACCTCCAGAAACCATGGGCCCGACTGTAATCTATTCGTGGAAAAAATGCCAACTAGGGCAGAAGGGAACAGCACACAAATGTGAAGGGCACCATCCAAAGGGCAAAACATGCATCCCACATGCATTTGTAGTGCATCCCTGCCCCACACATCCTAGGAATCCTATCCTCAAAATGTAAAAATGAGAAGCCATTCCATAAAATGCAAGGAATGAATGCCACAAGGGGATACTTGGCATGTATACAGGCCTTTTTGAATTGTGGCTAAGATAAACTTATAGTAATCATAATACAAGAAGCAAGCATTAAAAATTATTGCACAAATGTAAGCTTAAAAAGCATTATGTCATCCGTATTTAATAACTATACGGGCTTAAGAATTTGTGGCTATATTTATTTGGTAATTTTACAGGCTTAAGAATTTCTCTGCCATCTTGGTTAATCCCATTAACTACAATGGAATTAAGCGAGCACAAGCAGTTTTCACTGTTCCTTCTCCACATCTAGTATCTTTCTTGATATTTACATGGATGCTTACATGAAACCTGATTAAAATATTCAAATTCTCTATCACCATTTTTTCTTGTTTTCTTTACCTACTAAAATCTGGAGCATAGCTCAATAAAAGGAGTCAATGGGAGAGAAGATAAGGAACCCGTTTCGGTGCACAGTCGCTAAAATGTTCGTAAGACTGCTGAGTCACATGTGCCAGTTTCAGGTTAGGCTTGAATATATTTTGGAGGTGAAAGCAGCTTACCATTCTTGATGAATGAATTTAATACTGCCAGTGCATACACATGGATGATAGAGGGGCTTCTCGGGAGTTCCTTCAGACCGACATACCCTGCATATATCTGTTGAACACAAACAAGCGGAGTTAACAGAATTATCATTATGAAATATTTTAAGCCTCCTGATGTATCAAACGTGGTAAATTATAGAACCAAGAGCCAAAGCAAGATCACCAGAAGCAATTATCCTTTAAATCTTCCGATTGTGGGTTGCTCATTCTAAAATCACAGATATTGCTGAAAGACTATATTTAAAGCAGGAGCACTAAAAATGATTTCTGGCATATGTCCCTGAATAGGCAATTGCTGGCGCATCCTTTAGATACAGGATGATATGATACTGCATAAAGGAAAATCAACAGAAAGTTCCACACCTGACTCTTTTATTGATGATGTTAAATGAGAAATTTTACATTCCATGTTTTTCCTGTAATCAGAAAACTATTGCCAATAATTAATAATGCATGGGACTTCAGATCAACCATATACTAATACAGGAAGAATATTTAAATATTCCCAGCCAACAGCCTTTTAAAGGGCAAAAACTGCAATGCATGTACATTAACCTCCCCTCTTCATTCATTTATTCATTTCATTTCCATACCACCCAATAGCCAAAAGGCTTTCTGGATGGGTCACAAAGTTAAAAAGAACATATAAGAAAAAGCAAAACACTACCTAATAATCGAACAACAGAACAATAACCTCAAATAAAATGATGACAATAAGCCCACAGCAACCACAATCAAATCAGTCCAGAGGTACAGCAGCAATACTTTATAAAACTTGACTATTAAAATAAAATGCAGTATAAAAGTTAACTATTAAAGTATTGGGCAAATACAAAAGTTTTACCCAGCTCCAAAAAGAATAAAGGGTAGGCACCAGGAGCAGTTCTTTGGGAAGCTGGTCCCACAGTTGGGATGCCACCACCAAAAAGGCTCTTCTCCAGGTAGCCAAACTCTTTTCTTTGTTTAGAAGGGGACTCCCTAAGAAGGACCTCAGAAGATTATCTTAGGGCCTGGGTAGGTACATATGGGACGAGGCATTCCTTCAGATAACCTGGCCACAAACTGTTTCCAAAGGCAGCCCCATGTAGAATGAGTTACAATAGTCCAGATGAGAGGTTACCAGCACATGGATCACTGTCGCTAGGCTCTGTCTGTCCAGATCGTTGCTCCATGCCACTGAGTCAACTTGTGACTCAGGTGACAGTCCTGGATGCAGGAGCACCCCCAAACTACAAGCCTTGTCCTTTAGAGGTAGCTGAACCCCCTCCAGAACAGTTGAGTATCACCCAACTGGACGGACAACCCAGCCACCAACATCATCTCATCCAGTCCACTACCATGGATCAACTCCCTCCACTGGAATGAATCAGAGCACAGCATGTTTCGAAGACATATATACGTCTTTGAATCAAGACGATTCCAAGCTGTTTTGATTACTGTAAAATAACATCCAAAGTGGAGAGTTAAGTACTTTCTCCATGGCAAGATGTGCAGGTACCAAACCATAGAGTGACCAGAAAAAGTGTGAGTACTTCTGCTCCCGTGGAATTTTCTATTATGTCATAAGCCTTACTAAGGATTAATCTACAGTGGCAGTGCTAATCTTTGCAGCCTCAACAACTGATTTTAAAACACTGATCTAAAGACCAAGGTGTACAGGAGGGAAGGACTGCAAAGGAGGCTCAAACAAAACTCTCAGAGAGCAGCCATCTTGTAGCCCACAAAATCCAACCTAAACCTTCTTCTGCAGTAAGTTCTACCCATTCCATGCAACATATTAAAGTTGGTCATGAAGGTAGCAGCTGAAGGCTAGTTCTAGGAAGTACTGGCAACAGCAACCAGCTTTCAAAGTTTGAGGTATGATCTAGAAAGAGCAATGCTTTAGACTAGTATCAACCCGGTTTCTATACATGAACCAATAACCAACACCCCAAGGAACACCATGCTGCTGGTCTTGGTTCAGTCAGTGTCCAGAGGAAAGACTACCTGGAAACTGCATGACCACCATCTTGATTTTGATAGTGGAAGAAAGATAGGCTATAAATGTATTAAATAAATAAAACAAAAATGTCAAGTTAATTCTTTATAATGGAGAATGACACCAGTGCAGCCAGGAGTCCTTATGATGAAGCTTTCTGAAAATATTCTTAGGTGCCTCTATTTTCATGAAGTAACGTGCATGCATGAAGGGGTACTGCAAGGACTATGACGAAAGAGGCCCATATAAGCCACCTTGGGTTCCTCACAAGAAAGGTGGCATATAAGCCAAATGTAAGATTTAACAACAACAAGTCAATATGAAAAATTACCATTTAGGATTTTTGCTGGTTTGTCAGAGTAAGATTGGAATTTTATTTTGGAAAGTTTTAAATGATGCCAGGAAGTATCAACACTTAGCATGCTTGCGGGGTTCACTCGACAAGAGGACCCATAATGTTATTGTGTCGTCCAAACCAAGCTGCTTTCTACAGGGTGACTTATTTTTCAGCTTCAAGGCACCCTTCCAACCTTGGCTTGTTCGAGAGGTTGCTTCATCCCTTATGGGTTCTCATGTCATTCAAAGCGGGGAGAGCAATTTTGTCATGAACTGTGGGGATCTGCCCGCATGCCACTCAGCAGCATCAGCAAAAACTCCTGCCTCTCTTTGTAATGCCACCCTTGACGCTGTCACGGACAGCCACTTCATCAATGCTTAGCCGGCACTTTGGAGCAACTCAATTTGCAACCTCAGAAAACCCAAATGTGTGTGCAACAAAGGGGTTACGTCTTCTCTCTGCAGAGAAACACTAACAGTTCTCCAAATGTTCAGGCAACACCAAATGTTTCTGAAAGATGCTTAAGCTTGGGAATAATACTGCTGAATAAACTACTGCACTCTATTAATCCATGGGCAAAATAAAGGAGCAACTCAAGTGAAGCAGGGCTCTCTTCTTGTGAAGAATTTTGAAACAGACAGCAGTAATGTCTCACTGACAAATGTACTGCTCACCAGAACAGAAAGGCTGTGGTTCTGGAAGCATGGTCATGCCTGTGAGATGCCAAGTATCTCCTGATGGATGAGCCCTCTCAGACAACAACAACAGAGTTTAACCTAGTTTCCCAGAAAATAAGGGTTAATTTGTAGCATTGCATTTTTAGGCTATGTTTTCACATCACGGTAACCTGATTTAGCATCACACAGACCAATCACAGCTAATGTCTGGTGTGTACACTCTTGCTCTTTTCCTCCAGCATGGTCACAAGGAAAATTATAAAATAAATTGTGCATTGACACAGATTAGAATGGGTGGCACTGAAAAGACTTGGCTGCTGGGCAGTATGGAAAGACGAGGGAGGAGGAAGGCTCAAAAGGAAGGCTCAAAAGGTAAGAAGTCTTTACTACCATCCTAGTAGCTATAAGAAGTCTTCAACAAGTGAACTTTCAGTTGTGACATGGATACTCTACAGGACTTGGTGCAGTGCAACTGAACTGTAAAACAATGTTTTCTTTGTATTGCAGCTCTATGACAAATAGTGCTGACAAGAATAACTTTACCTTCAGGAAAAGGATTAGCTGGCAAGTAATTGAGACACCTGTCACTTTCAAGGGGAAAAAGGCTCAGAATTTGATAATGTTTGAAACAGCAAATAGCTGCACTAACAAAAGAGACCTATTTGCTCAAGCCGCAGCCGTCCAGGATCTTCCTGATCCTCCTAACAGGATCCCTGCTTACCAGCTTCCCCATCCCACACCTTCTCCCACTGGAAAGGAGACATGGGTAGGCAAAGCTTGTCATTCCTGGCAGCCAAGCTTGGCTATCACCGCCATCCTGCTGCCACCAAGGACCAGCTTCGCCTGTCCCAAATCCTCTCCGCAGTGGCGCAGGGTGGAGGAAGCCACTGACCCCACTTCCATCAAGGGGACCCATCATCCATTGCCTCTCATAAAGGCCCTGGTACCCTCCAGGCCAGGGGCAGAGCTAAGCAAGGAGGCAGGGCTTGAGGAAGGCGGTGGATCAGACTCATGAAGGAACCTACATATCCACAGGCCGAATGGGCCTCCTCTGAGGGCTGAAGGTTGCCTTCCCCCAATTTAAACAACTGCAATTTAAAAGGCTAACTGTAAATCAGATTTAAATCACATTTCTTATATGCAGTTCATGTATTCCCAAATTAATGATGTATGCAAGGTGGTTAATATAATCAAATCATTAAAATGTTAATTTAAAATATACTGGAACATATATTTTGTATAATATTTCTATAAAATAAACAAAGCCTTACAATTGGCAGGAGTCACAATTGTCTTTTTTTTTAACAGCAAATTTTGAGAATAAATAGGAATACATGAAGCTGCATGGTAAGCAAAACTGCTTCTCTTTTCCCCCGTACAGCACTTTCTGCCTCAGTCTTCTTCTTCCGCAGTGCTGCGCCATGCGCTGGCCGCACCGCAATCCCATTTCAGCAAAGGCAGATGTTTCTTGGGCTGGCGCGGGTTCCATTCTGATAGGAAAAAGAGCATGCGAGCAGTCTGGCCTTTGTGTGCACATTTTCCAGAAGAACATGCTACCAGCAGAGGCTTACAAACTGTGGCAAAAGCCCAAGTCTGTGGCCTCAGCAGGCTAAAAGTAAGGCCTGGCCTATGCATGGCCCACAGACTGCATGTTGTCCAGATAGTATACCTCAGTAACGCAAGAACTGAGGAAATGAGAGCGCTCCAGGACATGAACTGCATGAAAACAAGGAGTGGGAGCAATGGACGATAACTAGCTGCAGGCCCTTGAGCATCCCCTGAAACCCGAAATGGCATCACAGTGCTTGTGATGCACCTGCACCAAGCTCATAACGTGATTTGGACACCATCCAGTGAGATTTGGCTAAGAAGCAGTGAAGAATTATAATAAATCTGTAAACCCACAAGAGAATCATATTTAAAATGACAACACATGTACTTCCTTACAATGCACATAGTTAAATTATGGAACCTGCTACCGCAAGATGTGGTAACACAGCCACTGAATCAGACACCTTAATCAGACATAAAAGGGGATTAGACCAATTTAAGGGGGATAAAGCTCTCGGGATGGATATTCTACCTCTGGAAGCAGCGTGTCTCTGAAGACAGTTGTATGATGCTGGACACTCAACTACATAGGCCTTTGAGCAATCAAGCAGGGCTCCCTTACTGCCTTCATGTTTGACCTCAAGATATTTCTCAATGCTCCTTTTTATCATACAATGCAAACTTCAACTAGGTCAATGAGTCAATTCCTGTGTAGTGCTAATCACGGTTTAAGATTGCTACCACAAGTCTTGTGCTTCCCTCTCCCCTCCCCCACAGAGGCCAAAAGAATATATGGGAAGCATCTAGTTCAGCTAACCATGGTCAGTTGTTACATCCAAACCATGAACAGTGATCAGGGTTAACTATGGATCCTTGAAACAAGACATTGTTTGAAGGTTATTTGTTTTAACATGTCATAGTTTTTATGCTCACCAAGTTTATTCCACTTTAAACATAACAGAAGCAAATACTCCTGATGTTCTCTTTGCAGCCACACTAGAGAATGGGGAGCGGGGGCGGGGGGGTAGCACCCTACTCTAGTCTTTAGTCAGATGAAAGACTGAGATGTGTGATTGGGAAGAACACAGCATTGTGGCTTCAGGGAATATCTTGTGAAATAGTTAAATTCAAATTAGGCACAATTTAGATTAACATTAAATGTGAAAAACTGGGGATTCCCACACAATATATGCTAGGAGTTGCGAAAGCAATGTTTGGGGAACAGTCAGTATTGCCCACTCACTAGATCAGCCACAGGCAAACTGATGCTTTCCAGATATTTTGGACTGCAACTCCAATCAATCTCTACCAACATGGCCAATGGTCAGGAATCATGAAAGCTGTAGTTCAAACTATCTGGAGGACATCAGGTTGCATAAACACTGCTCTAGATACTTCAAGAGGTGAAATGTTAGAATGAGGGCAGCAGGTTGTTTAAAATTTAACAAGCCAGGGTGCCGGGGTTGCACGTCATGATGGCAAAGGGGAACAGGGCTTTCCTGAACTGTCTAACAAAGCACAAGCGGACAAGCAGCCAGCACCCTCATTCATACCGACAGAGTGCCTACTGTCATTTGATCACGTGAACTCGGTCAATGTATTAATATATTTATTTAAAATGTATGTATCCCAGTTTTACAAGAAGCAAAAATACTAACGTCATCCCTTACTCCTTGTGTGTAATATCTTAAATTTAGATGACAAAACTGAGGGCATGAACTGTGATGCTTTTCATTGCAATGCAAAATAGGGCTCCACAAACTCCACAGAGAGCTACTCTAGGACAAAGCAATGATCCCACAGTATTATCTTCTAGAAACAATGCACAAGGTATCCTACCTGCTACATGGAACACTGGAGTACAGACTATCATTTATCAACATTTCAGAACGTGTTAGCTGGGAAAGTTAGTAGAGTCAATGGATAAGAGGAACTAGTGACCAAAAAGAAACTATTTATGGTGAGCCCATCTCTACTCATGTGCATTCCAAGCTCCCTGAATTATGCATGCTTTACCCAGAGGGCAAAAAACAAGACAGGTAAGTAGCACATGTCTCACCACTCATATCCGTATTTCTTCTGCATCATCAGGAGAGGGAGAGAAAAGCCGTGTTCTTTCTGACCTCTTATTTCTAATTATTATTTATTTCACTGCCATACTGCCCAGTAGCCAAAGCTTATGAAGTCAAGGAAGAAAATCTAATATTGTATTTGTGTGTGCTAGTCATGAGAGTCCAAAGGGAGAACTGGACTGGCACTTGGATTTGGCCAAATCCCATTTCATAAGCTGAGAACCCTAATCCTTCAACTACTAATTGCTCCAACCAAAACTATCAGAAAGAGTGGAAGCAGCCGCTGCCACCTTTCATCATAAAATAAATAAATGCTCAGGTGAGAGCCGTACCACTCCAAACACCATCAAGACGGTCGATGGGAGAGGATGCAGCAGCCACTCCATTGCACTTAAAGCCAGCTCCATGACCTGCTCTGAATTGCTGTGTGCTAAGCTTGGTAATTAAGAATCTAGAACCCAAGTGTGCTTTTCCCCCTCCTCCCTTCCGGTCCCTTTTCCTTTTGCATTATGCCTTTCAGAATGTAAGCCTGCAAACAGGACTGTCTTCAAAAGTTGCTCTGGAGGCCTCTTTAGCTGAAGAGTGGGATTAAAAAGCCATTAAATAAATAATTTCAATTACAGATCCATTGGACGGTGAGTGCCAACATTATATGTCACATACATAAGAAAACTAGTATCTCAGAGAATGCCTTTGTACAACATGTTATCAAACTGAACAACAACAACAACAACTTATCAGGTTAAAATATATATATATTTGCATTCAGCTTCCACGTTAGGCTTAAAGTAGCTTCCATCCAGTCTCTGCTTCCAGCACTCGTACTATCTCCACATGGCATCAGAAAGATGAATACTTTTTCAGGTGCCTCCCTATGCTCCCGGCACAATAGGTATGCTTAGTCTTTAAAGCCTCGAGGACTTTCTGCTGCTTTCGAAACTCGTGCCAACAGCTCCTGGAGAACAACCTAATACAACCCCCCCCACCCCTTCCCCAGACAGGTCCAAAAACCAGGAAGGCGTCCTGAAATCCCGGGCTCCAGCTGCAGCGGCCTCTCCTGTAGCTTCGCTCACCTCTCCGAAAGGTTACGTAAGAGACACGCCAAGCAGGGGGTGCAGCTCGCTCCTCCGGGCCGCCCCTATCGCAACAGCCGCAGCCGGTCCAGCGCCGCCGGGAGGACTTCCCCCCACCTGCCAAGGGGCAACCTCTCCCGCACCAGGCACCGTGCCTTCGAGCCCAACGAGGCAACCCCCGCCCGTGTTTCGGGCTCGCACGCCTCACCGGCAGCCAGCACCTCGCGCCCCTTCTCCAGCAACCACAGCGCAACCCGAAATAACCCAGCCCTCTCCGCTGACCTCGCCGCGCCACGGAGCGAGGGAAGCCCCGTCTCAGGTGAACGAGCGTTCCCACGGCTCGCGCCGACACCACGCCGCCCTGGCCACCCTCGCGGCCCCCCTCCGGGTCCCCGCAACGCCTGAGCCCGCGGGGCGGGGCGGCCACG